GGTGCATTAGCAGGGAGCTGGATTGGAAGTGGGACAGCCAGCACTCAGAAAAGCACTCATACTAGAAATCAGTGTGACAGAGGTGGCTTAATCTGCTGTGCCACATAACCAGCCCCAACCCTGTTATTATTAATGTGAAGTTAGGCAAATGACTGTATCTCCAAATATGTTATCTTCTGTAAAATGGAGTCAATATTTACCTTTTCAATTGTAGTAAGAAACTCATAATGTAACATAAAGAAGTGTGTACATGCAGCCTCTCACAAGGCTAAGTTTTCAGTAATCATCATTCAAGTTACTATGTAGGACAAACAAGCACTCTGTTCCATATCATAATGAACAAAGAAATAAATTAATTAATCTTCACTGGGATTTTTACTTTTTAGAGGTACTGATGTCCCCTCTCATAGTATTCACTTTTGATCTTATCAAAGCATTTATTAGAAGATCCAGAATTCCAACGAGTTCATCCTGGGGTCAGTGCCATGACCTAGCAGGTAATCATACCGCCTGCAGTGCCGGCATCCCATATGGGCGCCAGTTCAAGTCCCAGCTGTTCCACTTCCAATCCAGCTCTCTGCTATGGCCTGGGAAAGCAGTAGAAGATGGCCCAAGTCCTTGGGCCCCTGCACCCAAGTGGGAGACCCAGAGGAAGCTCCTGGCTCCTGGCTTCAGATCAGCACAGCTCCAGCTGTTGCGGTCAACTGAAGAGTGAACCAGCTGACGGAAGATCTCTTTCTCTCTGCTTCTCTTTCTCTCTGTGTGTAACTCTTTCAAGTAAAATAAATCTTTTTTAAAAAAGTTTATCTTTAAAAAAAAAGATATTTCTTTGAAAGGCACAGCTACAGAAAGAGACAGAGAAAATCCTCCATCTGGTTCACTCCACAAATGGTCACAACAGCCTGGTCTGGGCCACATCAAAGTCAGGAGCCAGGAACTCCATCTTGGTCTCCTACAAGAGTGATGAGGGTCCAAGTACTTGGCCCATCTTCTACTACCTTCCCAGGAACAACATCAGGACGCTGGGTTAGAAGCCGAATAGCCAGGACTCAAAGCGGGACTCCAATATAAGATGTCAGCATCACAAGCAGCAGCTTAACCCACAGTGTCACAACACCAACCCCACGAATTTATCTTATTTTGGAATTATTCAACAAGTATTTCTGCATCACCATTTATATTTTGAGTTCTTAGGAAATCTGTGCAGTTCTGACTTTGGAACTACCCAGAGTGAGCAACTCCAAATCTGTCTCAAAGTATCACTTCAAAGTAAATGAATGTTAGCCGTAAAGCCAACTAGCCTAAACTATCAAGAATTAGATTTTACCAAGGTTTGGACTGTTCCACAGCCTCCATTCCTTCAACTGAGTGAATACTCCCTATACAACCTTCTTACCTGCCGCACCTAGCCAGATTCAGTACCTCACAACTTCCTTGAAGAAGTCTCGCCTCCATGTATCAGTGATAAAACATCCCCAAGTTTTCAGTTCCTTTTAAATTCCATATATTATAAATGCTCCAGTAAAAAGTCAAATGTATGACTTGACAGGGGTGGGGCAAGATGGTGGTATAGCAGCGGGATGTTCCAAGTCACGCAGGGAAAAATGGATAATCAATAATCAATGAGTAGAGGTGATACAAGCAGGTGGCAGAATCACAAAAAGTTCACTGCATAAAGCAATTGTGGGATATGTACACTATGGAACTACACAGCAGTTAAAAAAAAAAAAAAAAAAAAGATGAAATCCGGTCATTTGCAACAAAATGGAGCAATCTGAAAAACCTCATACTTAGTGAAATAACCCAGTCCCAAAGAGACAAATACTATATGTTCTCCCTGATTTGGGAGAATTAATAGCGTTCCTAAAATGAAAGATAAAGAAGTGAAATTGACACTTTTAGAATCAATGACTTGAATAGTTCTTGTCCTGACTGTAGAGGGACAATTTATTATTGTTACTTTTTATTTTGTATTTCCTCTGTTTCTTTGTTTCCTTTCTTTTTCTTTTCTCTTCTTCATGTTGTATGTTGAACTCTATGTAACATAGAGGTAATCATATGTATATTAAGTCAATTGGAAAAAGATCCCAGTAAAAAATAAGAGAGGGAATAAGAAAGGTGGGAGGTAGTCTATATAACTGTAAATCAGTATAGTTCTGTATATAGTCCTACAGACCTACTTCTAAGGGTACAGCCTCAAAACTTGTCATGGGACTCCAAACCCATTAAAATCAATGGTATAAATGCCATCTTAACTGTTAAAATGATCATATTAAATAATAAAGTCAACATATAGATAGGTTTAAGTGTAGAAGTGATCATATAAATAACATCAAGTGTCTATTAATAATAATAGATAGAATTAAAAAGGAATGTGTCCAATATGGGAAGCAGTCCACACAACAGACTCCTAGAAAGACATTCCCTGTAAGTAACACTGTGACCTCAGAATCAACCCTTAAGGCTTCCTGGTCTGGCTGAAAGGCCTGTGAGAGCATTTCAGGCAAGGAAAGCCAAGACTCTATGGCAAAAAATATCATACACGGAGGATCTCTGTATAGACCTCAGTGGAAAGAAAGGGCCATCAAAGAAGGGAGGAGAGAACATCCATTTTTCTTATGGTTGTGTCCAAATACTGATGGATTCTATGGTCACAAAAGGCTTCCATAGCCTTGGCAGCCTATGGCAAGAGCCTCAGGTGATCACTGACATCATAAATAATAGTGTTAATTGTGAAAGGAACAACAGAAGTCACTGTGCACTTAGTCCCCATGTAGGACCTCTGTTCTTAATGAGTTGTACTATGAGAACTGATTTCAAATCATGTTCTCAAACAGTACTCTATATGTTGTGTGTGTGTGTATGTGGGTGCAAACTGTTGAAACCTGTTCTTAACATGGAATTGGTCCTCTGTATATAAAATTAAACTAAAAATGAACCATAATAAAGAAGGAGATGGGATAGGGAGAGGGAGGTGGGATGGGAGTCAGAGTGGGAAGGTGGGTGTGGGGGAAAGAACCACCATATTCTTAAAGATCTACCTATGAAAAATGCATTCATTAAATAAAAACTTTTAAAAAAAGTTAAATGTATGGACAAGAGACAAGAAAGAATAATTAGTAGATACAAATTACCCTCTATTTACTTCTCAGATCAGTAACCCAGCTGTTGCTCACCCATCTGGCTTTGCACTAAATATATGTGAGTTTGTAATTTAAAAATCTAGTCTGCATTTCACAAATTATATATTTTACATCAGGAATCTAATCTTAGACAATAATTTTGTGTGACACTTCTGATCACAATGCACTCAAATTTTTCAAATGATGTTTAACCCACAGACCTATTTATGGCAAATTCATTAACTTGTAATTTTTTTTTCTGCCTGGTAAATTTCTCAGGCTGATCAATGTAGGCATTTTTGCTGGTGCTTAAAAATAAAAAAACTTTCAAACAGTGTTACTTTATAATGGATCAAGTTAGAGGATCAATAAGCAAGAGTACTGTTACTCCTACTTACCCTAGTCCCCATTACAGGAAATGAAAATGAATTCTGTGGTAATTACAACTTAAGAGGAAAAATATTTTCCTACCTTCACTTTCCTATCCACTGAGCAGGTTGCTATAAAATTTTCATCTGTAGAGAATGTACAACAAAGTACTTCATCTTCATGAGCCTTGATTTCTAGAAGTTTCTCTCCTGTTTCAGCTTTGAACACCTACACAAACAGTAGTATCTTTTTAAAATAAGCCACTTAGCCATGGGCCATTACTCAATACAAATATTTCTTTACAAGTTCGGAATCTTTATTATTTACAAAACAGAAATGAACTAGGCAAAATCACTCCAAAATCGAAATGTCTGTCAGAATTTGTAAAACAACATAAACTGGGAGATCTTCAAAAAGTTCATGGAAAATGTGCATTTTCTGTTAATTCCACCTTTTTTTTTTTTTTTTTTTTTACAGGCTGAATGGACAGTCAGAGATAGAGACAGAGAAAGAAAGGTCTTCCTTTTTCACTGGTTCACCCCCACAATGGCTGCTGAGGCCGGCACATTGCACTGATCCGAAGCCAGGAGCCAGGTGCTTCTCCTGGTCTCCCATGCAGGTGCAGGGCCCAAGGACTTGACCCATCCTCGACTGCACTCCCAGGCCATAGCAGAGAGCTGGACTGGAAGAGGAGCAACCGGGACAGAATCCGTCGCCCCAACCGGGACTAGAACCCGGGGTGCCGGTGCCGCAGGCAGAGGATTAGCCTATTGAGCTGGGCGCCGGCCTAATTCCACCTTTCCATGAGCTTTTAAAAATTTTATTTATTTAATTTATTTGTCAGAGAGAAAGAGGGAAAAGAATGCTAGTTCACTCCCCAATGTCCACAACAGGAGAAAGCCAGGAGCCAGGGACTCTAGTCAGGTCTCCCATATTAAGGACCCAACTATTTGAGTCAACACTTGCTGCTTCCAAGGGTGTGTACTGGCAGGAAGCTAGAATCAGGAGTAAAGCCAGAACTCAGGCCCAACACTTTGATATGGGATACATGCATCCTTAGCAGCATCTTAACTGGTACACCACTCACTCACCATGAACTTTTTAAGGCACCTTCATAGAGAACTATCTATTGTTGAATGTTGAAAAGTATCAATAAAAATAAACAGAATGCAGTTGTAGTTTCTGAAACTATTTTGGCAAATTCTTTTTTCTTAAATATTTATTTGTTTATTTGAAAGGCAGAGTTTACAGAGAGAGAGGGGAAGAGACAGAGAGATAAAGATCTTCCATCTGCTGGTTTACTCCTCAGATGGGCCAGGTAAAAGACAGGCGCCCAGAGCTTCCTCCAGATTTCCCATGTGGGTTTGGGGGCCCAAGAACTTAGACCATCCTCTGCTGCATTCCTAGGCACACTAGCAGAGAACTGGACCAGAAGTGGAGCATCTGGGTCTCAAACCAGTGCCCATATGAGATACCAGCATCACAGGCGAAGGCTTAACCTGCTATGCCACAATATTGACCCTCAAATGTGGGTATCTTTTTCTTAAAGATTTATTTATTTATTTGAAAGGCAGAATTACAGAGAGGCAGAAGCAGAGAGAGAGAGAGACAGGTCTTCCATCCACCATTTTACTCCGCAGATGACCACAACTGCCGGAGCTGCGCTGATCCGAAGCCAGGAGCCAGGAGCCAGGAGCCTTATCCAGATGTCCCTGAATGTGGTATCTTAACCAATGAACCAAATGCCTACCCTATACAAATTCTAATCTACACGGGATTGGGTACATTTATCTCATGAGATGTTTACCTGCAAGGTTTTGTCAGCTCCGCAAGAGGCTATTCTCTGACCATCCGCAGAAAAGCAGGCGTGGTAAACAGCATCTGTATGGGGGCGGACAACTAAGCGGGAGAGATTCTTGATGTTTTTTTTGTTTCTGAATACAAGGAAAAAAATTAACAGAAATCCAATAAATTAGAGTAAAAGTAACTATTTTCTCTCAGTAACAAAGTAAAGCATATACTTTAACATGCATATATTCCTCAAAACTACAAAATTCTAAAAGTAATAACATGCAAATAACAAAATACCTCTGCTACACAGAAAACAAAATCTAACAAAAGTGGCATTTTGCAAGAAATGCCAGGCAACCTGTTATGTTACAAATGTCACTGAGTTAGTAGAAATCTAGTTAATCAAATACATATCACTTTCTATTTCCTTTTGATACTTTAATATAGTCACAGGTAAAGACAAAACATTATGTAAGGGTACCTTCCAAAAAATCTCCATCTCTTAAAATGAAAGAAACCATAGCAAAATGAAGTTTGTTTCCTACCTAAAATCTGACACTATGCCCACCATTATGATGATGTACTTTAAAAATTCTTCTCTCTCACTCTAATTTTCAAACACATAAGAAAAAAGGTAAAACAATGTTATTTTCTTTGTATCCTTAATGAATACCAACTATTTATATTAATATAGATATTATTCCTCATGAGCTAAAGGATAAAGGAATATAATATGTACTTAGGACAAAGTCCTGTCTCTCCCTCTCTCTGTAACTTTCAAATCTCTGTCTCTTCCTCTCTCTGTAACTTTCAAATAAATAAATATATCTTTAAAAGTAAAATAAAATAAAAACTAATTAGATCAAGAAAAAACTCTTTCTTGAGCTATGCAATTGCCAAAGGCTCAGAAAATGATCTTCACAATAAAGGGTATATTAGGGGTCGGCACTATGGCAATGATTCGAGTCCCAGCTGCTCCCCTTCTGATTCAGTTCTTTGGCAATGCAGCTGGGATAGCAGTGAAGTACTTGGGCTCCTGCCACCCACATGGAAGACCCAGTTGGAGTTCCAAGCTCCTGGCTCTTGCCTGGCCCAGCCCCGACTTTTATAGCCATTTGGGGAGTGAACCGACAGATATAGATTGTGAATTCCTTTGGGAAAACTTTAGCACCAATGCTTAGCACATCAGAGACACTCAAAAGCTAGTTGAACTAAACTGAATCAAGGGAAACACTTGATTCAGTTTAAGCAACCTTATTGGAAACAACACTTGGGGTCATAAAATTACATATATCAGGGCTGGCACTGTGGTGCAATGGGTTAAGCCACAGCCCACACTGTCAGCATCCCATACGGGCACGGGTTCAATCCAGCTCCCTGCTAATGCACCTGGGAAAGCAGCGGAGGATGGCCCAAGTCCAGTCCTTAGGACCCTGCACCCACATGGGAGACCTGGATGAAGCTCCTAGCTCCTGGGTTTGGCCTGGCCCAGCCCCGGTTGTTGCAGCCATCTGGGGAATGAATCAGCAGATGGAAGACCTCTCTCTCTCTCTCTGCTTCTGTTTCTCTATAATTCTGTCTTTCCAATAAATACATCAATCTTTTATAAATAAATTATACATATAAAAAGACAACCACTCACATTATCTCAAGCTGTAAGGAAAGCATGGCATATAGAAAGAGCACTGTGGCGTAGCAGGGTTAGCCTCCACTTGTGGTGCCAGCATCCCATATGGTTGGAGTCTAGGTTGCTCCACTTCCGGTAACAGCTCTCTGCTAATGGCCTGGGAAAGCAGTGGAAGATGGCCCAAATGCTTGGGCCCCTGCACCCATGTGGGAGACCTGGAAGAGCTCCTGGCTCCTGGCTCCTGGCTCCAGGCTTCAGATCGGCCCAGCTCCAGGCATTGTGGTCATTTGAGGAGTGAACTAGTGGATAAAAGATCTCTCTCTGTCTCTCCCTCTCTCTGTGTGTAACTCTGCCTCTCAAATATATAAATAAATATTTTTTAAAAAAGCATGAAAATAAAAGTCACAGAGACCCAGAAACTAAATCCCATTCAATCAAACACATGAGTTCAGTCAAGTAACAATTTCCTTGTGCCTTAATTTTCTGGTTTGTAAAACAAGGCAATTAATACTTATCTTAAAAGGTTGTTTTGAAGATTAAATGGAATAACATGTGATTATACAATACATAAAATACATTGATGACAGCTCATCCTTTCCTTTTTACTAATTGATGAGTCTAAGAGCAACAGTGAAGGGGCAGGCACTGTGGTATAGTGGGTAAAGCCTCCACCTGTGATGCCAGATCCCATATGAGTACCAGTTCGAGTCCCGGCTGCTCCACTTCCAGTCCAGCTCCCTACTAATTCACCTGAGAAGGCAGAGAATGGACCAGGTACTTGGGCCCCTGTGCCCAGATGAAAGACCTGAAAGAGGCTACTGGCTCCTGGCTTTGGCGGGGCCCAGGTTGTGGCCATTTGGAGAATAAACTAGCAGATGAAGGATCTCCCTCTCTCTGTGTGTCTCCCTCCCTGTAACTCTGCCTTTCAAATAAATAAAATAAATCTTTATTTAAAAAGAAGAGCAAAAGTAAAGAGCCTCCTTCAAGAAGTAGGAGAATTAGGATTCTGTGGACATTTAATAATGGCAAAGTACAAATTACCTTATAGCCATTATCTCACACAAATTTTCACAAAAAGACTACCTCTAAGGATTGCTATCAGGGCCAGTGTTGTGGAACAGTGGGTGAAGCCACTGCCTGTGATGCCAGCATCCCCACAGGTGCCAATTCATGTCCTGGATGCTCCACTTTTAATTCACTCCTTGTTAATGGTCTGGGTAGGCCCTTGCTACCCATGTGGGAGACCCAGATGAAGCTCCTGGCTCCTGGCTTTGGCCTGGCCCATTGCTGGCTATTGCAGCCATCTGGCAAGTGAATCAGCGGATGGAAGATCTCTCTCACTGTCTTTCCCTCTCCCTGTCTCTCCCTCTCTCTCTGTAACTCTTGACTCCCAAATAAATAAATAAATAAGACTGATGTCATCATTTTACATATCAGAGAGTAACCCTGTTTAAAATCACAAAATTTCATATAATTGTGTTAAAAGGTTTTTTAATTTTTATTTTTATTTGAAAGGCAGAATGACACAGAGAAGAGTAGAGAAAGACAGATCTTCTATCCACTAGTTTACTCTCCAAACAGCCACAAGAGCCAGGGATAGGCCAGGCCAAAGCCAGAAGCCTGGAACTGAAACCAAGTTTCCCACACGGATGGCAGGAACCCAACTATTTGAACAATCACCTGCTTCCTCCCAGGGTGCTTAATAGCAGAGAGCTGGACTGTAAGCAAAGCAGACATGACTTGAATCAGGCACTCCAATAGGAGATGCAGACACTCCAAGGAACTGCAGGCATCCCAAGGATCTGCTTACCCTACTACACCATAACACTCACCCCAAAACTATTAAATTTTAGAACTGAGATTCAAATGCATGTCCGTGTCTCCAAAGCCCATATTCTTCACCACCAGCCCAGATTACAGGAAGTCAAGCATCTGGTACTAACATTTAGGATGACTTCTCAAAAATGCCTATAAGGACTCTGAAAATACAATCATTTTCTCCTATACTTAATTCCCTGGAACTTTTCAATAAGGACAAATGCTTATTAAAAGTTCCAGTCCTTTCCAAAGTAGTTAAATCTTCCTGGAGTGAATTTATTCACTATTTGAAAAATAATGACATAGTTGGTGCTCCACTCCCTTTGATTCTCTCCCAACCTACGTACATCCACTCCAGGTAAAGCATTCCGTTATCGACCTCCTGCTTGGCCTGCAGCTTAGCTTGCTGATAAACTTCTGAAGTTTCCGGTTCACAGAGACCCAGCTGTATAATGTTAGGAAATGGCTGTCGTCCAAGAAGGTGTCCATTTAAAGATAAAAACTCCTGAAAATTTTCACAAACTGTACAATCCTGTGAATAAATGAAAAGTTCTTAGAAAATATGACCAGAGCTAGGATCTGACATCTTTCTGTTTCTGTGATCTTATCACTTAAAAGGCTTAAACAAAATATTCTCTATATGAACTAAAAATTAATAGCCAACCATCAGGTAACAAATATATAGTCATCCTCTTCTGACTTTGAAACATGGGGTAAAAACCTCATTACTGAACATATTTCTTAATATATTTTTTAAATCACTGAAAATCTTACTTCCCCAACTTTCCAGTCTCATTCCTACATATATTCTCGGTAGACTAGGCAGCAAATCAATTAGAAAAATCGAAGATCAAAGTAGGAAAATTATCTCTCTTCATCCCTTCTATTCTGCTCATTCCCATCATAAAACTTAGAATTAAATGTCAACATGAGATGTCCATTAAGCACTAACTTTTCATATTACTGTATACCTTTTCATCCAATATATGCCTATATTCCACAAATTCATGAATCAGATGAGCAGGGCCAACAAGTTCTGTTTTTGCTTTAATCCAATCCAGGGAAAACATTAAAGCACAAAGTTCCTTTAAAAAAAAAAAGTTCAGCACTACTGTTAAAGAATCAAAGAGCTTTAAGCATAACATTATTACCCTAACACTACTGAAATAAACTTGGCTGATATCTAGAAAAAGAATCCATAAATAATTCCAATGAAATATAAAATGGGCCTCACGTTTTAACAAAGTCAATTTCAGTTGCATTAAATATTTAAATATAAAACGCAGAATCTCAAAGAAAAACTAGAAGATACAGTTAAGTATTTTTATAACCCTGAGGTGAAGGACATCTCTGTAAACATAACACTGAAGCAGAATACAAAAAAAAAAAAAACCTATATATTTAACTACCTAAAAATTCTAATGGAGTTGGCATCATGGCACAGTGGGTACAGCAATCCCAGCAGCCCCACTTCTGATCCAGCTCCCTGCTAATGTCCTGGGAAAAACAGAAGATGGTCCAAATGATTAGGCCCCTGCCCCCAACATGGGAGACCTGGATGAAGCTCCTAGTCTCTGGCTTTGGCCTGGCTCAGCCCTGGCCACTGTGGCCACTTGGGGAGTTAATCAGTGGATGGAAGATCTTTCTCTGTCTCTCCCTTTCTCTATAACTGTGACTTTCAAATACATAAATAAATCTCTAAAAAAAATTCTAATCTTCAGGGGTGTGCATTATAGTACAGCAGGTTAAGCCACTACCTTCTGAGCACCAGGTTTGATTCCTGGCTGCTCCACTTCTCATCTAGCCCCCTGTTAATACACCTGGAAAAGCAACAGAAGATGATCCACATACTTGAGCCTATGCAACCCATGTGGAAGACCCAGATGGAGTTCCTGGCTCCTGGCTTCAGCCTGGCCCAGACCTGGCTGTTGTAGCCATTTGAGGAATTAACCAGAGAATGGGAGAGATATCTCATGCACACTCTCTTTCTCACTCTCTCGCTTTCCCCATCACTCTGCCTTTCAAATAAAAAGATAATGGGCTGGTGTTGTGGCATTGCAGGAAAAGCAGCCACCTGCAGTACCAGCATCCCACATGAGCACTGGTTCAAGTCCCGGCTGCTCCACTTCGATCCAGCTCTCTGCTATGGCCTGGGGAAGCAGTAGAAAATGGCTCAACCGTCACTGTGGCGCAGCAGGTTAAAGCCCTAGCATGCCACGCCAGCATCCCACATGGGCGTCAGTTCGAGTCCTGGCTGCTCCACTTCCAATCCAGCTCTCTGCTATGGCATGAGAAAGTAGTAGAAGATGGCCCAAGTCCTTGGGCCCCCACACCCTCATGGGAGACCCAGAAGATCATGACTCCTGACTTCAGATAGGCTCAGCTCCGGCCGTTGCAGCCATTTGGGGAGTGAACAAGTGGACAGAAGACTTCTCTCTCACTGCCTCTGCCTCTCTGTAATTCTACATTTCAAATAAATAAAATAAATCTTAAAAAATAAATAAAATATAAATTAAAAAGTCTAATCTTCAGTATAGCAGAAAGCAATATAAATAAAGATTAAGACCAAAAAAAAAAAGAAGAAAAATATTTCAACAAACACGGAAAGAGGAAGGTGAGATAAAACTTGAGAATTTTTAAACAGGTCATCTTACTTTGTGCATATTCGCACTGGCCATGTGGTAGGCCAGAAAGTTGTACCAATACATGCAGTCCTCCTGATCAGGGGAGAGAGTGTATAGCTGGTGATACCTCTGGAACTGAGTGACCACCTTTTTATGTAGATCCTAAAACCCAAATTAAACATTTAAGAGGACAGAAACAATTTTATAACCCAAGCATCACTGTAGCTCCAGCTTCCAAAGCCATTCTAAATATACAAAGAATCTCCTCACAAGATATCTATTAATTAAAAAAGGAATAAATAGTAACTTTATAGTAGAGAAACCTGGTGGATACCACTTTAAGCAAATTATCAACATTAACTTATACAAAATAAGATTCATCAACACCAAGTACTCCCTGATACAATGTACTGAGAAGTATACAACATCATTTCTCTGGCATTCTTGCCAAAACATGTAAAACATTTATCTAGTCAAGAGAAAACATATGATAAAACCAAATTAGAAGGGCTGGCATCCCATATGGGTGCTGGTTCAAATCCCAGCTGCTCTACTTTTGATCCAGCTCTCTGCTATGGCCTGGGAAAGCACTGGAAGATGGCCCAAGTCCTTGGTTCCCTGCACCCACATGAGAGACTTGGGAGAGGCTCCTGGCTCTTGGCTCCTGGCTTCAGGTCAGTGCAGTTCTGGCCGTTGCGGCCATCTGGGCAGTGAATCAGAAGATATAAGACCTCTCTCTCTCTCTCTCTCTCTCTCTCTCTCTGCCTCTGCTTCTCTGTAACTTTGCTTTTCGAATAAAAAATAAATCTTTAAAAAACAAAATAAAAAAACACAAAAAAACGAATTAAAGGACACTGTACAAAATATCTGGCCAACACAAAAGTGACAAACCCGGGGGCCAGCATTATGGCATAGAGGGTAAAGCCACTGCTTCCAATGCCAGCATCCCATTTGGGCGCTTATTTTATTCCCAGCTACTGCACTTCTGATCCAAACACCCCAAAAATGGCCTGGGAAATCAGCAGAAGATGGCCGAAGTCCTTGGGCACCTGCACCCATGTGGGAAACCCAGGAAAAGCTCCTGGCTCCAGGCCTCAGGCTAGCCCACTCCAGCTGTTTGTGACCATATGGGGAGTGAATCAGCATCTTTCTCTGCTTTCCCTCTCTCTCTGTAACTCTGCCTTTCAAATAAGTAAATAAGTCTTAAAAAAAAAAAGTGACAAGGCCATTAAGACAAACACTGAGTATCATAGATTTGAGGCGACTAAGGAAAATGAAAATGAGAAAATAAGACAGTAATTTGTAACATGGTATCCTAAATTGGATGTGGAACATAAAAAGGACATTAGAAAAATTGAAATTCCTAATTCTGGGGCGGCTGTCGTGGCATAGTGGTAGGGAATAAAGCTGCTGGCATCCCATATGGGCACCAGTTGGTGTCATAGCTCCTCCACTTCCAATCCAGCTCCCTGCTAATGGCCTGAGAAAAGCAGTGAAAAAAAGTCCCAACTGTTTAGATCCCCGCCACCCATGTGGGAGACCTAAATGAAGCTTCTAGCTCTGGCCTGGCCCAGCGCTGGCTATTGCAGCCATCTGACGAGTAAACCAGCAAATGGAAGTTTGCTTGCTCTCTCTCCCTCCCTCCAAGTAGCTCTTTTAAATAAATAAATAAATCTTTAAAAAAAAAAAAATCACACTCTCTAAGTTGGTTAACAGTACTGTATCAATGTTAATTTTCTGGTTGATCATTGTGTTATGGTTATATAAGATGTTAGCATTAAAGGAAGCTAAGTGAAGAGCTGATACATGGAAATCACTACTATTCTGTAACTTTTCTGTAAGTCTAAAATAACTTCAAAATATAAAAATTTTTTTCAGTGTACAGTAACACAAGTACCTGAAGCTGGCTGCGATTCTTCTCTGTAAGAAAATCTACTTGGAGATCATGTAAATAGTAAGAAAATGATTTTCCATTCCGATCACAAAATAAGAGAGACTTATTAACAAATTCCTGCAGTATGTCTTCAACTTCTTCAGTTTCCATGTCCCAGAGAATACATAACACCTGCAAACCATTTTAAGCATTTAATATGTCATAGAAGTATAATGCCCAGGACTGCAGCCGAGATATTAACATTAAAAAACCCTAATTTAAAGCCTTGAAAAAGAATGCCTCCATTTCTTAAGAAACTCAACTATTCCTTAAGAAATAAAGAAGTCAGATGCTTTTCCAGTTTAAAAATGGCTGAGAAATAGACAACTCACACCTTAAACAGAGAGCCCTTGAAGGGAAGTAAGAGCAGAGGGACTGCTGGTGCCACAGCTCAATTGGCTAATCCTCCACCTGCGGCACTGGCACCCCAGGTTCTCATCCCGGTTGGGGCACCAGATTCTGTCCCGGTTGCTCCTCTTCCTGTCCAGTTCTCTGCTGTGGCCTGGGAGTGCAGTGGAAGATGGCCCAGGTCCTTGGGCCCTGCACCTGCATGGGAGACCAGGAGGAAGCACCTGGCTCCTGGCTTGGGATCGGCGCAGCGCGCCGGCCATAGCAGCCATTTGGGGAGTGAACCAACAGAAGGAAGACCTTTCTCTCTGTCTCTCTCTTTCTTTCTCTCTCTCTCTTACTCTGCCTGTCAAAAAAAAAAAAAAAAAAAAAAGAGCAGAGGGACTGCTACATCTTCTAACCCACCATCTCAGTTCCATGGATTATATCCTTTCAACATCCTCCCAGCAATGTGATCAACACTATATAAAAGGTTACATGCTATAAATACCCATGATGAGGACTGCTGGTCCATCTGTTACCTTTGTAGGAACCTTAACATCTTTCTGAAAGATGGAAAGATCTGTGTAATAATCTCTGATGTCTTCTCTGAGTACATCAACACTTATGGACATGGCTTCATCCAGAGCTTCATAATCATAAGATGAAGATTTCCTTATTCTCTTAAATTGCTTATTCTGAAGCTGCCTGAGGTAGTACTCCCAGCGGTTGGGAAAATCACGTAAAAGTGCACCAATTAAAGACACTACAAGAGGAGAACCTTAAAACAAAAATGTGTTAATATCACATTATGTTCAAAATCACCACTAAATTAAGAATCTATGTATTCTTAAGAAACAGTCCTACAAAAATTTGAGGAGTGCATTAAAGTAGGATATATCTTTGCCCATCCAAAGAATTCCCTTCCTGACTCAGAAGATGAATGAAACCACCATGTGGACCTTTTAAGGTAACTCCCTTGAGGCAGCCACCCGGATCCATGAAATGAGTGGCCGGCTGGCGCCGTGGCTCACTAGGGTAATCCTCCGCCTTGCGGCGCCGGCACACCGGGTTCTAGTTCCGGTCCAGACGCCGGATTCTGTCCTGGTTGCCCCTCTTCCAGGCCAGCTCTCTGCTGTGGCCCAGGAATGCAGTGGAGGATGGCCAAGTCCTTGGGCCCTGCACCCCATGGGAGACCAGGATAAGCACCTGGCTCCTGCCATCGGATCAGCGCGGTGCACCGGCCGCAGCGCGCCGGCCACGGTGGCCATTGGAGGGTGAACCAACGGCAAAAAGGAAGACCTTTCTCTCTGTCTCTCTCTCTCTCTCACTGTCCACTCTGCCTGTCAAAAAAAAAAAAAAAAAAAAAAAAAGAAAGAAAGAAATGAGTGGCTACAGAAGGTCTGCAGAAATGGAGATGCGCTATATCTAGACACATTCCTCTACCTTTCTCAGGCACAAATGCTATGTTAATGAGAACTATTCTGCCTGCCAGCAAAAGAAGCAGACAGCCAGTGTCCATAGATTATATTCCCTGGAGGAAAACCCTAAACAACTGACAAGTGAGACTGATGTTGGTAGCTCTGTGAGGGGTTTGGGGTGTGGCTACACATGGGTTATGACAGGAATAGACATGAACTCTAGACTGGGCTTTGATTACCTAGTGCAAGGTGTGTTTCTGTTTCAAGTGCAATGAAAGAACAGAAGACACTACACAGATTTAGAAGGCCAACAGTCATTTCTTCAGATAAAGTAACATTATAGAACTAGCTCATAATGTTAAACTATGGGCAGAGAGATACCCTCCTCAGAGTATAGTCTGATGAAGTGGAATGAGCAATTAAAACACTGGTATCTACAATGGGGGAAGACACATGACTAGGACTGGCTTACATGCCTTCACAAGTATACGCTCACATGCAGTGTGAATGGCCTAAAGGAATGTCCCCACTAGATAGTCCTCTGTTTTCCTTGTGGATCTCAGGAGGAGGGACTTGGAAAGTATGCTGTATGACTATGCAACTCTTGCCAAGGGAGGAATAGTGATCATTTAATTTTTTTCCTTCCTTTCCCCTATCACCTCGACTTTTTTCCTCCCCCTACTTAATACAAGGGTCCTATGAGGATCAGGGCTGCAGCTACAACTTTTGTAAGGAGGGATATTTCCTAAATAAGAAATTGTAACTGTTTCTAAAACTTGTATCAGAATTCCTAAGGGCATAAGAGAGTGGGTTGCGCCTTCATCCCATTTGGCAAAACTGGTTAACAGCATATACAGTTATATTGCCTGGTGGTAAAAGCAGCCCACTAGTTTTGCACCTAACTTAACCTTATCCTATCTGAATGAACACTCCCATTCTGAGTGGGAGTTAATTGCTAAACCAGGATGATGGGAGAACCTCAGAAACCTGAATATAACCCTACCTACAACCCAGCTATCCCACTACTTGGAATTTACCCAAAGGAAATTAAATGGGCAAACAAAAAAACTGTCTGCACATTAATGTTTATTGCAGCTCAATTCACAATAGCTAAGACCTGGAATCAACCCAAATGCCCATCAACAATAGACTAGATAAAGAAATTATGGGACATGTACTCTATAGAATACTATACAGCAGTCAAAAACAATGAAATCCGGTCATTTGCAACAAAATGGTGGATTCTGGAAAACATCATGCTGAGTGAATTAAGCCAGTCCCAAAGGGGCAAATATCATATGTTCTCCCTGATCGGTGACAACTAATCAAACACCTAAAAGGAAACCTGTTGAAGTGAAATGGACACTATGAGAAACAGTGACTTGATCAGCCCTTGTCCTGACTGTTGATGCACAATTTAATACTTTATCCCTTTTAGTATTTTTTTGTGTGTGTGTTCTACTTAATACTATTGGTTGAACTCTGTAATTAACACACAATCATTCTTAGGTGTTTAAATTTAACTGAAAAGTGATCTCTGTTAAATATAAGAGTGGGAACAAGAGAGGCAGGAAATGTACAATTTGGGACATGCTCAATCAGACTTGCCCCAAATGGTGGAGTTAGAAATGTGCCAGGGGATTCCAATACAATCCCATCAGGGTTGCATGCATACACCAATGCCATCTCACTAGTCCAAGTGATCAATTTCAGTTCACAATTGATCATACTGATAGGTCTAAGAGTCAAAGGGATCACATAAACAAGACTAGTGTCTGCTAATACTAACTGATAAAAAAGGGAGAGAATGATCCAACATGGGAAGCTGGATACACAGCAGACTCGTAGAAGGGAAGATGTCCTAAACAGCACTCTGGCCTCAGAATCAGCCCTTAAGGCATTTGGATCTGGCTGAAGAGCCCATGAGAGTATTTCAGGCATGGAAAGCCAAGACACTCTGGCAAAAAAAAAAAAAAGATCTAAATGACAGATCTCTGCGAGTGAGATCCCAGTGGAAAGAACAGGCCATCAAAGAAGGAGGTACCTTTCTCTGAAGGGAGGAGAGAACTTCCACTTTGACTATGACCTTGTCTAAATAAGAGCGAAGTCGGCAAACTCAAAAGGCTTCCATAGCCTTGGCAACTCATGCCTAGAGCCTAGGGAGATTACTGACACCATAAACAAGAGTGTCAAATTGTTATGTCAACAACAGGAGTCACTGTGCCCTTACTCCTCATGTAGGATCTCTGTCCTTAATGTGTTGCTCAATGTGAATTAATGCTATAACTAGTACTGAAACAGTATTTTATACTTTATGTTCTGTGTGGGTGCAAACTGATGAAATCTTTACTAAATATATACTAAATTGATCTTCTATATATAAAGATAATTAAAAATGAATCTTGATGTGAATGGAATGGGAGAGGGAGCGGGAGATGGGAGGGGTGCGGGTGGGAGGGAAGTTATTGGGGGGGAAGCCATTGTAATCCATAAACTGTACTTTGGAAACTTATATTTACTAAATAAAAGTTTAAAAAAAAACTCATATAAAATAGAATTAGAGGTATCGTTTTGTGGCACGGCAGGTTAAACTGCCACCTGTGACAATGGTACCCCATTTGAGCAATAGTTCAAGTCCCAGCTGTTCTACTTCCAATACAACTCCCTGGTAATTAATATGCCTGGGAAAGCAGCAGAAGACGGACAAAGTGTTTGGGTCCCTGCCACCCATGTGGGAGACCTGGATGAAGTTCCAGACTCCTGGTTTTGGCCTGGCCCAGTCCCAGCCATTGCAGTATTTGGGGAGTAAACCAGCAAATGGGGAGATCTCAGTCTCCTTCTCTAACTCTCCTTCTCTCCCCCTGTTAACTTTGTTTTGGTACAAAACAAATTTGAAATCCATGCATACAAAGGATTTTCAAATTTTCATGAAAATATTTAAGTGAGAAACTTCCTAATAAAAAACACTACACTAGTTTTTACTTACAAAATTAGAATATCATTTTTATAAAATTCCAACCAAAAAAATTTGAAAATCCAACTCTTACTATAGTTTTTAACTTTTTAACAACAGAAGTCACATATTCATCTTATCCTTCTCACTAAAACCATCTCTAGCATATTATGGGTACACATTAACATTATTTTAACAAATGAATCAATGCCATAATATCATGTGTCCATTTAAAGTATCAGGGAAGAACTTAAAACACTAAATATCCTAGAAAAGTTTTTGGATGCTGATGTGCTAAATTATCATATTCACTAGCTTCATTTACAAAAAAGGAATTTATATCCTTATGACAAAATAACCATACCTTTACATTCTTTTATAATACTATGAGCTTGTTCTGGCAAATCTGTTTTCTTCATATTAACAAATAGGGATAAAATTTCAAGTCCTTTTTCTTTTCCTAGGCTACTCTCCACAGGGACTACATATTTAGGACCTGCAACAAAATCACATTAGACACAGTAACTAATTTGGTATGCCATATATTTAGATGTAATTGAATAATACTTTTATTAATTTAATACCTTTATTAAAGTATCAAAAAGTAAGTCAATAATCCTTACCCATTACTGAATCTGTAACACTCTTATCTCTGGTTGTAAGAAGAATCTGACATTGATTGTCAAAAGCTTTTAACACCCAAGGATCCCAAACATCATCCAAGATCAACAGAGACCTAATTAAAAAATAAACAAAATGAACCATAAATAACATGTAAACCTTTTCTTAAGAAGAAAACAGAAAAAGCAAAAAAAACCTATATCTTTGAAATCTACTCAATAATTTAAAAAGAAGAATAGATGACTAGTCCAAAATTTCTCCTTTTTCATATAAACCGTTTTCAAATAAGGGCAAAAAAAATTAGACTTTTACCTCCTCACAACCCACATTAAGAACCTATTAAAATTAAGGGTCCAGGGTCCAGTACTGTGGCATAGCGGGTAAAGCTGCCGCCTGTGGTGCCAGCATCCCGTGTGGTCGCTGGTTTGATTCCTGGCTGCTCCACTTCTGATCCAGCTCTCTGCTATGGCCTAGGAAAGCAGTAGAAGACGGCCCAAGTCCTTTGGCCCCTGCACCCATGTGAGAGACCCGGAGGAAGCTCCTGGCTCCTGGCTTCAGATCAGTGCAGCTTAGGCCATTGCAGCCATCTGGGGAGTAAACCAGAGGATGGAAGACTCTCTCTCTCTTTCTCTTTCTGTCTCTCTCTCTCTGCATCTGCCTCTCTGTAACTCTGCCTTTCAAATAAAAAAAAAATCTTTTACAAAAATGATTAAGGGTCCATAAGTAGGCATTGTGGGGTTACAGGTCAAACCACCACTTGGGATGCCTGCATAATGGAGCTCCAGTTTAAGTACTGGCTTCTCCACTTCTGATCTAGCTTCTTTATAATGCTTCCTGGAAGGCAGCAGATGCTGGCTAAGCCTGGGTCCCTGTCACTATGTGGGAGACCCAGATGGAGCTCCTGGCTCCTGGCTTGGGACTGGTCCAGCCCTGGCTGTTGTGGGCATTTAGAGAGTGAGCTAGCAGATGGAAAATCTTTCTCTCTCACTGTTGCTTTGCCTTTTCAAATGAAAATAAACATACTTTTTTTTTTAAAATTAAGACTTTACAAAAACAGGACTTTTTATAGCATGGAAGTACTAAGAATTTATCAGTTCAGACATCACTTATTGAGTGCCTAAAGGATTATACAATTAATGGAATTTTTCCCAATTCAGTCGTTAAGCATACCAGAACTAGGCTCAGATTAATATCAGAAAGACAATATTTGATTGTATCAGTGGCAATATGTGATGTGATCATTTTTTACCTACAAAACTAGCAATTTCATGTATCCTAACCTGAAAGAAAACTCTAGAAAGAATATTATTTTGGGGGCAAACATTTGAACTAGCAGTTAAGATACCAGTTGGGATACCCATATCCCATATCAGTGTGCCTGGTTCAAGTATTAGCCCTGCTCCAAGTTCCAGCATCCTGCTCAAGTGTATCCTGTGAGCCAGTAGGCGACGGCTCAAGAACTTGGGTCTCTGCAACTCACATGAAAGGCATGGATTGAAGGGCTGGCACTGTGACGTAGCAGGTTAAGCTGCCATCTACAGCATCAACATCCCAAATGGGTGCCAGTTTGAGACCCAGGGCTGCTCTACTTCTGATTCAGCTCCCTACTTATGCACCTGGAAAAGCAGCAGAGGGGCCGGCGCTGTGGCACAGTGGGTTAAATCCCTGGCCTGAAGCGCCGGCATCCCATATGAGCACCGGTTCTAGTCCTGGCTGCTCCACTTCCAATCCAGCTCTCTGCTATGGCCTGGGAAAGCAGTAGAAGATGGCTTAGGTCCTTGGGCCCCTGCACTCATGTGGGAGACCCGGAAGAAGCTCCTGCCTCCTGGCTTCAGATCAGTGCAGCTTAGGCCATTGCAGCCATCTGGGGAGTAAACCAGTGGATGGAAGACCTCTCTCTGTGTCTCTACCTCTCTCTGTTAACTCTGTCTTTCAAATAAATTAAAAAGAGAGAGAGAGAGAGAGAAGCAGCGGAACATGGCCCAAGTGCTGGGGCCCCTGCACACATGTGGGAGACACTGAAGAAACTCCTGGCTCCTTACTTCAATCTAGCCCAGCTCCAGCCCTTGCAGTCATTTGGAGAATGAACCAGTGGATGGAAGATCTCTCTCTCTCTCTCTCTCTCTCTCTCTCTCTCTCTCTCTTTCTCTCCCACCCTCCCTCCCTCCCTTCCTCCCTCTCCATCTCCATTTCCCCCATAACTCTGCCTTTCAAATAAAATAAATAAATTAAAAAAAAAAAGAAGAAGAGAAAAAAGATCTGTACTAAGAAAGTGGCTCCCAAGCTTCAGCCTGGCCCAGCCCCAGGTTCAGTGGGCATCTGGGAAGTAAACCAACTAACAGGAGATCTCTATTTTTGTATGTATATGTGTGGCTGCCTCTCAAATAAATGAATTTTTAAAAAAGATTACTTTCCAATTGCTATACTAGTGAGATATTTTTAAAATTTTTTTATTTATTTATTTGAGAGGTAGAGTTACAGAAAGACAGAGATAGAGAGAAAGGTCTTCCATCTGCTGGTTCGGTCCCTAAATGGCTGCAATGTCTGGAGCTGAGCCAACCCAAAGCCGGGAGCTTCTTCTGGGTCTCCAATGCAGGTGCAGGGGCCCAAGTGCATGGGCCATCTTCCACTGCTTTCCCAAGCAATTAGCAAAGAGCTTGATTGGTAGAGGAGCAGCTGGGACATGAACCAGCACCCATATGGAATGCAGGTGCTGCAGGCAGAGGCTTAGCTTACTACACCACAGCATGGGCCCCATGGTAAGGTTTTTTCTTTTCTTTTTTTTTTTTTTAATGAGACATAAGAATATCCTCCATTTAATACATTAAAAGAAAGTAAGCCCCTAGAACAAGTTTTATCATTGATTAAGGAAGCACCTAAGAAAACAAGCAATGAAGTTGGACACCTAGGCATAACTAAAACTTTGAGACAGAAAAATATCCTCCACTTACTACACTAAAACAAAATAAACTTTTGTGAACAAGTTTTACTGTTAACTCTCATAATACAACTCTTTGAGGACAGAAGTCCTGCATGGGAAGTTAGTGCACAGTGACTCCTGCCGTTAATTTAGCAATTAACACTCTTATGTATGATGTCAGTGATGACTCAAGGCTCTTGACATGAGCTGCCTACGCTATGGAAGCCTTCTCAATCCACAAATTCCTTCAGCATTTAGATAAGGCCATAAGCAAAGTGGAAGTTCTCTCCTCCCTTCAGAGAACAGCATATCCTTCTTTGATGACCACTTCTTTCCACTGGGATCTCACCCACAGAGTTCCTTCATGTAGGGCTTTTTTTTTATTAAAAAGAAGGAAATTTTCGCCAGCGTCTTGGCTTTCTATGCCTGAAATGCTCAGTGAGGTTTTTTCTACTCAAGAAATCAATCTGCTCATTCACAATAACAATGAACTTCTATGCCAGTTCCTGATGGGTTTCCACAAACTTTTTTAAATTCATCAAAACAGACAAAATAATAACAACAATAATAATAGCATGATTATGCACTAGCATTTTTATCTGAATGGTACACTCTGTACACCTCAAAAGGCAATAGTCCAAGGGCCAACGTTGTGATACAGAGGGTTAATCTGCTGTTTGCAACACCAGCACCCCTTATCAGAGTGCTGGTTTGAGTTCTAGCTTCTTTGTTTACAATCCAGCTTTCTGCTAATACGCCCTGCAAGGCAGCAAGATGGCTAAAGTACTTAGAACCCTGCCACCCAAGTAGAAGACCATGATGGAGTTTCTGGCTACTGGCTTCAGCCTGGCCAGATCTGCCTATAAAATAAATATATAAATAATTTTTTTAAACAGGAATTGCTTTAGAGGCCAGTGTTGTGGTGCAGCAGGTTAAACCACTGCCTGTAATACCAGCATCCCATAGGAGTGCCAGTTCAATTCCCAGCTGCTCTACTTACCACCCAGCTCTCTGCTAACATGCCTGGGAAGGCAGTAGAAGACGGCCCAAGTACTTGTGCCCCTGCCACCCACATGGGAGACTTAGATGGAAGATACCTGCAACTTCTCCTCTCTGTGTAACTCTGCCTTTCAAATAAATAAATCTTAAAAAAAAAAAAAAAAGGAAATTCTTGAAGAAATTCATTCCTGACCCAGTCTTTTACCCCTTGCCTAGTTTATTTTCTCTTATTCTATGTTAATCCATTAGAAATGTACTCAATGTGAGTGGTCTGCACTTTCTAGCAAAAACCACTACCCAACTCAAAACATATTTCTCTGGAGCCAGCGCCATGGCGCACTAGGTTAATCCTCCACCTGCAGCACCGGCATCCCATATGGGCGCCGGTTCTACTCCCGGTTGCTCCTCTTCCAGTCCAGCTCTCTGCTGTGGCCTGGAAAGGCAGTGGAGGATGGCCCAAGTGCTTGGGCCCTGCACCCACATGGGAGACCAGGAAGAAGCACCTGGCTCCTGGCTTCGGATCAGCATAGCTCCAGCCATTGCAGCCATTTGGGGAGTGAAGCAACAGAAGGAAGACCTTTCTCTCTGTCTCTCTCTTTCACTGTCTCTAACTCTACCTGTCAAATAAATAAATAAAATCTTTAAAAAAAAAAAAAAGACATATTTCTCGAGAGCCCACAATGAGATGGTAGTATGGGGCAGGCACCTGCATCTGGCCTAGCAATTAAGAGGTCTGTGTCCCACATCAAAGTGCCTGGATTTAATGTCCAGCTCCAGCTCCTAACTCTAACTTCCTGCTACTGTAGATCCTAGGAAGCAGCAGCAGTGGCTCAAATAACTGGATTCTTTCAACCTACAAAAGAGATCCAGATTAAGTTCTCCATTCCTGGCTCTGGCCCCAGATGGGAGCCATTGCAGGCACTTGGGGAGTGAGCCAACAGACAGGAGCTCTGTCTCTGCCTCTCAAATAAAAAAATAAATAGATAAGTAAATAAATCGTGGTAGGTAAAAAAGAAAGAACTAGGGGCAGGCATTTGGTATGGCAGTTACGCTGCTTCTTGAAACACCTACATATTGGAGTTCCTGAGTTCAAGTCCCAGCTCTGCTCTCTATTCCAGTTTCCTGCTAATGCATACCCTGGAAGGCAGCACATAATGACTCAGGTGCCCACAAGGGAGCCCCAGATTGAGTTTCTGGTTCCTGGCCTGGCCCAGTCCTGGTTGTTGAGGGCAACTGGGGAGTGAACCAGCAAATGGGAGGTGTGTTTCTATGTCTCTCTCTCTCTACCTTTCAAATAGAATTTTTTTATAGAAAGAGGGCAAGTGGCAGCCCCTTGCCCCTTCCTTTTTTTAATATGAGAGAGAGAGAGAAAACAATAGGAAGGCAGCAGTTCTTTTGTAGTCTCTCTGCAGAACAGCAGGAAAAGGACACAATGTTCTCAAGATGTCAGTGGTGAAGTCTTGATGAGACTTCACACACCGACTACACCTGACCATCTGTACCTTGGGTGTTTGTGCAGCATCAGAATGCGGAGACGGTCTTTAGCCTCTTCAATGTTAAGTGGAAGCCTCTGGAAGAAACTCTCATCCTGATCCAATCGTGAGCAGAGATTCTGCAGTTTCATCAGAAGCTTAGCTTTGTCCTGCTGCCCAACTGAAACCCAATGCACACCTCCCGGGAAACAACCTGGTGAGGAAAAAATAAACAAGGATTCTGAACAGCAGCCCTCCTCGTAATGGCTTCACTGTTAGGCATCATATTTATACAATCTTCAATCTCATCTTCACTTTTTCTTGATTCATGCTGTATATTTTGTTTGGGTGTTATTGTTGAGTTTGTTTGTTTGTTTGTTTGTTTACAGGCAGAGTTAGAGAGACAGAGAGACAGAGAGAAAGGTCTTCCTTTTTCCGTTGGTTCACCCCTCAAGTGGCTGCTACGGCTGGCGTGTTGCAGCTGGCACGCTGTGCTGATCCAAAGCCAGGAGCCAGGTGTTTCCTCCTGGTCTCCCATGCGGGTGCAGGGCCCAAGGACTTGGGCCATCCTCCACTGCCTTCCCGGGCCACAACAGAGAGCTGGACTGGAAGAGGAGCAACCAGTACAAAATCCGGCGCCCCAACTGGCACTAGAACCCGGGGCACCGGCGCCCGCAGGCAGAGTATTAACCTAGTGAGCCGTGGCACTGGCCCTATTGTTGAGTTTTAAAGCCTGAATCTAAGAGAAATTAAAGATGTGAAGAAACCAAAGTTTGAAGTAAATCTGCTACTTCTCAGGAAAATCTTACCAAACAAAATTTACACTCTTTGTCCTATAGCATCAATAATCACTGTACAGCACCTTTTTTAAAAAAATTATTTATTTACTTGAAATTAAGAGTTAGAGAGAGAGAGAGAGAGAGACCGACCTTCCATCTGCTGGTTCACTTCCCAGATGGCAGCAACAACAAGGGTCAGGCCAAGCTGAAGCCAAGAGCCAGGAGCTTCATCTGGTCTCCCACATGGGTATCAGGGGCCCAAACACTTGGGCACCCTCCACTGCTTTCCCTGCTGATGAGCAGGGAGCTGGATTGGAAGTGAAGCAGCTGGGACCCAAACCGGTGCCCATATGGGATTGCCAGCACTGCTTGCAGCAGCCAACCTCACTGTGAAGCACCATTACCCTTAGCACTCTCGATATTTTGGACAGGATAGCTCTTCACTGGACAGGATAATTCTTCATTGTACATTATAGAATGATTAACAGCCTCTTGGTATCTTCCCCCACACTAGTATCAACCACCAAAAATGCATCTAAATGTTGTCAACTGTTTCTTGAGGGCAAAAGCCCCTTGGTTGAGAAGCAATGATGCCCTACATAACTCACTCATTGTGGTTCTCTTACGCAGAGTTAAAATAAGATGTTAGGTTCAAGTCTGCCTCTACTGCTTCTAGCTATTCAATACTTTTTCTTTTTTAAAGATTTATTTATTTATTTGAAAGTCAGAGTTACACAGAGAGAAGGAGAGGCAGAATAAAGAGAGAGAAAGGACTTTCATCCACTGGTTCACTACAGATGGCCACAATGGTTGGAGCTGTGCAGATCCGAAGCCAGGAGCCAAGAGCCTCTTCTGGGTCTCCCATGCGTGTGCAGGAACCCAAGGACTTGGCCCATCCTCCACTGCCCTCCCAGGCCATATAAGAGAGCTGGACTGGAAGAGGAGCAGCTGGGACTAGAACTGGTGTCCATATGGGATGCCAGCACCGCAGGCGGAGGATTAACCCACTGCGCCATGGCGCCGGCCCCTATCTTTAATTTCTTATAATAACTCTGGAAGAGATGGGAAAGACAGTCTTATACTATATAACAAAAGAGACTGACAATAAGTCATTTGCTAAAGATTGAATAGCTAGTGGGGACGGCACTGTGGCGTAGTGGGTAAAGCTGCTGCCTGCAATGCCGGCATCCCTAGCGGGTGCTGGTTCAAAAACCAGCTGCTTCACTTCTGATCCAGCTCTCTGCTATCGCCTGGGAAAGCAGTAGAAGATGACCCAAGTCCTTGGGTTCCTGCACATGCGTGACAGACCCAGAAGAGATTCTTGGCTTCTGGCTTCGGATTGGCGCAGTTCTGGCCGTTTGGCCATCTGGGGAGTGAACCAACAGAAGGAAGACCTTTCTCTCTGTCTTGCCCTCTCACTGTCTGTAACTCTATCTCTCAAATAAATAAAAATCTTAAAAAAAGAAATTAAAGATATAAAACACTTTTTTTTTTCCCGACAGGCAGAGTGGACAGTGAGAGAGAGAGACAGAGAAAGGTCTTCCTTTTGCCGTTGGTTCACCCTCCAATGGCCGCTGCGGCCGGCGTGCTGCGGCCGGAGCACCACGCTGATCTGATGGCAGGAGCCAGGTACTTCTCCTGGTCTCCCATGGGGTGCAGGGCCCAAGGACTTGGGCCATCCTCCACTGCACTCCCGGGCCACAGCAGAGAGCTGGCCTGGAAGAGGGGCAACCGGGACAGAATCTGGCACCCCGACCGGGACTAGAACCCGGTGTGCCGGCACCACTAAGCGGAGGATTAGCCTAGTGAGCGCCAGCCTAAAACACGTTAACGTACTATGTCAACTGTAAAAGGTTATAACAGACAGGATTACCAGTGTTATAAGAATGCTAATGGAGTGCTAAGCACCTGCCTCCTGATTGATGAAAAGATGTGCAGCAAGGTACTACCTCCTGGCCCAAATGAATATGATGTTTAGTCAAATTCGGAAGCCACACTAGAAAACTCTGAACTTAATTTACAGAAAAATAAAGAAGATAGGATCATTAGAAAAACAAAGATTTCAAACTTCCTAACACAAGGACCAAAAACTGCAACAGAGACCACTGTAAACAAATATGAAGAGTGTCCTTCTGGGATTCCTCTAAATTGTGAAACAAATTTCAAGAACTATGTTTAAAAAAGAAATATGGCCGGCGCCGCGGCTCACTAGGCTAATCCTCCACCTTGCAGCGCCAGCACACCGGGTTCTAGTCCCGGTCGGGGCGCCAGATTCTGTCCCGGTTGCCCCTCTTCCAGGCCAGCTCTCTGCTGTGGCCAGGGAGTGCAGTGGAGGATGGCCCAAGTCCCTGGGCCCTGCACCCCATGGGAGACCAGGATAAGTACCTGGCTGCTGCCATCGGATCAGCGCGGTGCGCCGGCCACAGTGCACCAGCTGCGGCAGCCACTGGAGGGTGAACCAACGGTAAAGGAAGACCTTTCTCTCTGTCTCTCTCTCTCACTGTCCACTCTGCCTGTCGAAAGAAAGACAGAAAGACAGAAAGAAAGACAGAAAGAAAGACAGAAAGACAGAAAGAAAGAACGAACGAACAATAAATCTCAACTCCTTTCTTTTCCAAAATGCTCCAGAACAGATACACTGAAGAATGAAAAAAAAAAACTCCACAGTGAACAATCCTCAAGTGAAACCCAAAGGAAAGAGCTTACTCAATATTTTGGAATCAATGACAGACTTGATCACCTATTAAACAGAAAATAAAAGCTGACAAGTCAGGCCCTGAAAAGAGGACTAAGCCATGGATGAGTGGGACACTGAGAAAGGAGACATCTGTAAAAGCCAAAAAGGACGCTGAAAAGCCACAGGCTCTTGAATAAAGAAACACATGTGGGGGTTTAAAGCAAAGAACTGACTTGGAAACAAAAGGCACACAGGATATATTTAACTTGACAGAATTCTCCAAGACACTATAACAAACTTACATGCTCAATTTACTGAAAAGATTTTCCTGCTTATGTTAAATACATCAGGAAACTGACAGAAGAAGGAAAAAACAAGCAGAAAATTTGGGAGCTGTCAACTCTTTTCTATCTTTTTCTAAGGAATTCATACTATTGAAGTGAATGAAATGAAGCATTCTAATACTCGTGTAAGAAATGGAAGAAACATGGAAGAAAAAAGGAGAGAGGCCAGCATTGTGGCACAGCTGGTTGGGCTACCATCTGTGATGCCGGCATGACACATGGGCTCCAGCTCAAATCCCAGATGGTCCATTTCCAATCTGGCTCCCTGCTTAAGTGCATGGGAAAGCAGCAGAGCATAGCCCAAGTGCTTGGGCTCCCGCCATCCACTCCTGGCTTTGGCCTGGCCCAGCCCTAACTGTTGCAGCCATTTGAGGAGTGAACCAGCAAATGAAGGGTATCTCTGCATGTTTGTGTGTGTGTGTGTGTATCTCTTTTTCTCTGTAACTCTGCCCTTCAAATGAATAAAATAAATCTTTCTTAAAAGATTTTAGTTACAGAGAGGCAGAGGCAGAAAGAGAGAGAGATCTTCCATCCAATGGTTCACTCCCCAGAAGGCCACAACAGCAGTAGTTGAGCCAATCCAAAGCCAGGAGCCAGGTACTTATCCTGGTCTCCCATGCAGGTGCAGGGGCCCAAGGACTTGGGCCATCTTCCACTGCTTTCTCAGGCCGTAGCAGAAAGCTGGATTGGAAGCAGAGCAGCTGGGACTCAAACCAGCACCCATATGGGATGCTTGCACCACAGGCTGCATGTTTACCCACTACAGCACAGCGCTGGCCCCTGAAATAAATCTTAAAAAAGGATAGTATTGGGCCGGTGACGCGGCTCACTAGGCTAATCCTCTGCCGTGCGGCGCTGGCACACCGGGTTCCAGTCCCGGTCAGGGCGCCGGATTCTGTCCCAGTTGCCCCTCTTCCAGGCCAGCTCTCTGCTGTGGCCAGGGAGTGCAGTGGAGGATGGCCCAATTCCTTGGGCCCTGCACCCCATGGGAGACCAGGATAAGTACCTGGCTCCTGCCTTCGGATTAGCGTGGTGCTCCGGCCGCAGCGCGTCGGCTGCGGCGGCCATTGGAGGGTAAACCAATGGCAAAGGAAGATCTTTCTCTCTGTCTCTCTCTCTCACTATCCACTCTGCCTGTCAAAAAATAAAATTAAAAAAAAAAAAGATAGGATTGTATTTATATATACCTATAATATAAAACCAATTTTGCTTTTTAATCTACTTGGCATAGCAAAGTCAGTGAGCTTCTTGTACTTTCTTATCTGTAACTGGTATAACTGCATTTATTTGGAATTGTGTTTTTAAGATTGGCATTTGTTTATAATAAATTGTAAGTCCAAAAGAGTCTCAGTTGGAACCATCTTTACAAATGAGTTCAATTGCCTTAATATTATAAAAATAATTATTGATTCTTTATTGGCGACAGTAAAGTTGATATTTGACAGTCACACCATAAAAGTAGCTAATTTTTTGTACCTTCAGATGAAATAGTACAGTAAAAAAGAGAATGTTAGGGCCAGTGCTGTGGCATAGCAGGTAGCTGCACCCTGCAATGCCAGCATCCCACATGGGCACCATGTCCCCGCCGCTCCTCTTCAGAGCCAGCTCCCTGCTCATGGCCTGGGAAAAGCAGAAGAATGTCCAGGTTCTGGGGCTCCTGTACCGATGAGGGAAACCTGGATGAAGCTCCTGGCCCCAGGATTCAGTTTGGCCTAACCCTGGCCGTTGAGGCCATCTGGGAGAAAACCAGTAGATGGAAGAGCTCTGTCTCTCCATCTCTCTAATTTTTTCAAACAAATAAGTAAATCTTTAAAAATGTTTCCTTAAATATCACTTCTAGCCATTCATTCTTTAAATCATGATGGTTCTTCAAAGAGAAAATAGTGTAATTATAAAAGACAATTGGAGGCCGGCGCCGCAGCTCACTAGGCTAATCCTCCGCCTTGCAGCATCGGCACACCGGGTTCTAGTCCCAGTTGGGGCGCCGGATTCTGTCCCAGTTGCCCCTCTTCCAGGCCAGCTCTCTGCTGTGGCCAGGGAGTGCAGTGGAGGATGGCCCAAGTCCTTGGGCCCTGCACCTGCATGGGAGACCAGGAGAAGCACCTGGCTCCTGCCATCGGATCAGCGCAGTGAGCCGGCCGCAGCACACCGGCCGCGGCGGCCATTGGAGGGTGAACCAATGGTAAAGGAAGACCTTTCTCTCTGTTTCTCTCTCTCTCATTGTCCACTCTGCCTGTCAAAAATAAATAAAAATAAAAAGACAATTATGGCTGGCGCTGTGGCGCAGCGGGTTAACGCCCCACTTAAACACTGAGAGCTTTAAGAAAAAAACAGGACACAGAGGGAGTTGCCATTTTTAGCAGCAATGAAATATCACTAACTCCTTTTTACATACCGAATTCAAGTCCCTATCAGAGGTGAGTGTACCACAAAGTCAACAGGTACAAAATTGCTAGTTCATTTTTAAATTAACAACTTGAAATTACCCCTACCCCCCACCCCATTACATCCCCTTCCTTTTATAAACAGCAAACATTTTGCTTTTATACATAGGCTAGCAGGCTTGTTTCAATATGAAAGTGCTAATTCATTTACAGAGCTTTAAATCAGTCATGTAGTACTACAATAAATGTCCAATAATCTACATAGGAACAATCTTTGATGAATGAAAATGATAAAGATGGAATAAGGCTATCGGATTACCTTATCTTATTTACATATAAAGTATACTCAATGGTGAGGAATAGACAAATCGGACAAATAGTCATAGGTGTAAAAATTACATCTACCTTTGAGTTTTATACTGTAAATGAGACATTTTAAATAGTCCTGTAGCCCATGCTTATTTTTTCCTCAGAAAAAGAAAAGCTGCCTTCATGACATTCCCTCTTGTTTCAGATTTCCACAGTGTCACTTGAAGCTTCAGAGTCAGGATCTTACTTTCTTCAAAAATAAAGAAAATACCAGTCCTACCTCCCCCATTACTCCCCTCCCCCCAAGAATCCCTCTGGTTTCTTTTCCAGTGCCAGGTTGCATGATCAGGTCCCACCTCCTGGGGTTTTGCTTTGTGTGCATCTATTGATCAATGAGTTTAGAGTAGATAACATAAACCAGTTCTGGAACCACTACTAGGAGGAACACAAGCTCTTCACTACAATCACACGGCAGGAAAGAAAATGACAATTCAATTCATCCCTGGTGCCGGGCCTCCAAAACTGAAAGAACCTGGCACAACTGGAGCACTGAATTTGTACCTTCCATGCTTCTCAATCATTTTGGATTCATGGGCTGCTCTTCTTTGATCAGCCAGAGTTGCTATGTCTTGTAACTGTTTCCTTTGTTCTTCATTAAGACCATGAGTCAGAGCCTGATACCACACAGGATTACAGTTTTGAATAGTCTGAAATATAGCTTTAAATATCTGATACTCATCAACAGGGTTATCTTCATCATCAATGATTGTGGAATAGCCTTCTAGAGCAGTTTCCTCAGCATCATCTTCTTCCCAGGCCTCATCATCTCCATCTCCACCTGCTTGCTTAGCCAGAATCTCCAAATATTCTTGACCACCTTCATCAATATCATCCTTGTCACTCCCCAGTTCCTCAGTGTCATCATCATCTTCAGCTTCATCATCCTCATCACTGTCATTCTCATGTTCTGCATGGCAGGCATATGCTCTTTTCAATCCATTAAATAGAAGGATAAAAGCTGGCAAAATCTGTCCAGAAACCTGATTTAAAACCTGTGGTATTTGTTCCGTATCAATAAGAGCACACAGGCCAAGAACACACATCTTTCGGTCATGGAGCCCCAAGAAACAGTCAACATCATTAAGCCACTGTGTAATAAAATGATTTGTAACTGGTTCAACATTATTAGGGAAGCGAAGATTTTCTAAAGTATTAAGTAGTAGGTGTGGGTTATAATATAAAGCTGCAATTGCAACTTGCAGACACATTGTTCTAAGTTCACTTGTCTTAACTTCTCTTGTCAGTCTCTCTAAAGCTGCTTCCACGAATAAGGGAATGCACTGGTCAATGCCATGCCCTTTGCACTGCAGAATGATGACCTCTAATAATTTTGCTGCGTGACACTCTGCATCTTCTCCTGCAACTCCTGTAAGAACCTTTTGCACATACTGTATATCATTTCAAGATACTTGGTATCAGACAGAAAAGTATCTGTATCAACTGTTACATAATTATGCAGAAGAGGCATCATATCTGTAAAGTAATCAAAGCCATCTTGCTGAAAGACTTCAAATACAAGGGGCAAAAGCTGCCACATCAGTGGAGACACTTGTTGACATGTCAAACTGTGGTGGAATGAGAAGGCCATGCCAAGGTGGCCACTGGCAAGCGAGCGTCAGTTACTCAGGAATGGCTTTGAAACCCACCTGGCAACGGAGCCTGCCTGACAACAGGCTGTGATTGGATGGCTTTGGAAACTGCCTGGCAACAGGCTGTGATTGGATGGATTTGAAACTGCCTGGCAACAGGCTGTGATTGGTTGGCTTTGGAAACTGCCTGGCAACAGGCTGTGATTGGTTGGGGCATAGACCGCCCCTTGACCAGATTGGCTGGTCTTGGCTATATAAGATGTGGTTCCAACTGTAATAAATGAGTCTGTGGGCTGCTCACCTCAAGCCTGCTTTCACCCGACTCCGAGGGTCTGTGTGGTGACTCCGCCCCTCTTGCCCCCACCACACTGCTCCTCTCAGAAACGAATCCACTGCAACATTGTTGAGAAATCAACGGCAACATCAAACTATGTGCTAAGGAGAAGATCTCCTCATAGAATTCTAAGACATGTTGCTGTAAAACAGTACCAATAACCTGTAAGCAGATTCCCTCAAGCTGCTGGGTTATCTCTTTATGATCTTCAACTACACTAAGAAGTGTGTCAATTGTATTCAAAATTCCCATAGCAGTGACTGTTGTCATCACTTCCTTCTTCTGGCCCCATCTGGATTACCTGGTTAAATGTCATTGCCAAATGTTGTGTCATTTCTACTGCACTAGGAGTAACTTCTTCACTATATTCACAAATCATTTTCTGAACTACATTGGTAAGATCATCATTTTCTGTTTCTCTTATAATATGAAGAAGAGCCTGCATTACAGGTCTGATGAATGGTGTGATGTATTCTTTAGCTTTTTCTTGATTGCTTATCAACACTTGAAGAGCTATTGCAGCTTCCACTTTCACAGGCATTTCTCTGTCATCAATCAGACATCTCCTTGTTAGTTCTAAAGCTGTTTGAAGGTTCTGGTCACTTTTGAACTTCACTTCACAAAAATAGTGAAGTACCCAGCAAGCCCGTGCTCTCATGTAGCCTAGATCACTGCTGAAAAGAGGAAATACATGATTCTGCAACATGTATTCCATCTGTTTTTTTTTTTGTTTTTTTGTTTTTTTGTTTTTTTTGACAGGCAGAGTGGACAGAGAGAGAGAGACAGAGAGAAAGGTCTTCCTTTGTCGTTGGTTCACCCTCCAATGGCCGGCGCGCTGCGGCCAGCGCACAGCGCCTATCAGAAGGCAGAAGCCAGGTGCTTCTCCTGGTCTCTCATGGGGTGCAGGGCCCAAGCACTTGGGCCATCCTCCACTGCACTCCCTGGCCACAGCAGAGAGCTGGCCTGGAAGAGGGGCAACCGGGACAGAATCCGGCACCCCGACCGGGACTAGAACCCGGTGTGCCAGCGCCGCTAGGCGGAGGATTAGCCTAGTGAGCCACGGCGCCGGCCCCATCTGATCTTTATAGATCTTTTTCTTCAAAAGTATTTCAGCTAAAGAGCCAATCATATGCAAGGCTCCATCCTTTTTTCGAGGATCAGCATTTGGTTCTGTAAGAATCTGGTAACAAAATCCCATAGTCTTTTTTTTTTTTTTTTTTTTTTTTTGACAGGCAGAGTGGACAGTGAGAGAGAGAGAGACAGAGAGAAAGGTCTTCCTTTGCCGTTGGTTCACCCTCCAATGGCCGCCGCGGCCGGCGCGCTACGGCCGGCGCACCGCGCTGATCCGGTGGCAGGAGCCAGGAGCCAGGTGCTTTTCCTGGTCTCCCATGGGGTGCAGGGCCCAAGCACCTGGGCCATCCTCCACTGCACTCCCTGGCCACAGCAGAGAGCTGGCCTGGAAGAGGGGCAACCGGGACAGAATCCGGCGCCCCGACCGGGACTAGAACCCGGGGTGCCGGCGCCGCTAGGCGGAGGATTAGCCTAGTGAGCCGCGGCGCCGGCAATCCCATAGTCTTTTGTAGTACCTCTTTCCTTTTACTACAGGGTGTAAACAGAAGTGTCTGGGCAGAAGTGGTAGGTGAAATGAAATCTTCAAATACATCAAACTTCATGTGCATATATTCATAAGGGTCTTCTTGCCAAAGTTCCTCATCAGCATCTGCACAGCACATCAATGGAAAAATGACATCTTGGATAATGCCTTGTATGTGAGGCTTCAGATTCTTCCAGGTAAGAGCATAGGAAACTCCTTGATTAATATAATTTAATGTCTGCTGTAAAACTCGAGGAGCCAGGCCAGCGCCGCGGCTCACTAGGCTAATCCTCCGCCTTGTGGCGCCGGCACACCAGGTTCTAGTCCCGGTTGGGGCGCGGGATTCTGTCCCGGTTGCCCCTCTTCCAGGCCAGCTCTCTGCTGTGGCCAGGGAGTGCAGTGGAGGATGGCCCAAGTGCTTGGGCCCTGCACCCCATGAGAGACCAGGAGAAGCACCTGGCTCCTGCCTTCGGATCAGCGCAGTGCACCGGTCGCGGCGGCTATTGGAGGGTGAACCAACAGCAAAGGAAGACCTTTCTCTCTGTCTCTCTCTCTCTCTCTCTGTCCACTCTGCCTGTCAAAAAACAAACAAAAAAAAAAAAACAAAAACAAAACTCGAGGAGCCATATATTGCTTCTCCTTGTACTGATATAATACCTTCAACAAAACTTGCTGGACACCAACAGCAAATGCCTTCAAAAATACTTCAGCAAATTCATTATACTCCTTGGAAATATTGCCGGGGCTTCCATATCTCTCAAAGAGCCTTGCTAAACTATGTAAAGCCCACTTCTTACATTTCCACCATGGTAACTCAGGTCTATCATCTTCTTCAACTTGAAGTGTTTCATTAGGTACATCTCTGTTCACAACAATCTTTAAAATTTCTATCCACTCTGTCTGGTTCTGTTGGTTTATCAGCTCCAGCAGTAGTGTACACTGAACAAGAGCATAGAAGATCTTGAATATTTGTTTCTGGATGAGGACAGATTGATTAGACTGATCAGAAAGTGGCTGGATGAAACGATCCTTTAGAACCAGCAGAAAATGCCGCATCGCTGCTACCAATGGACTCCGCTCCTCTGGTTTCTTGTACTCATAATTTTTCACAAGCTGATAAAGGCAAAGAAGAATTCTAGCGACAGCACTGTTACAGACTGAGATAAAGCATCTTATCTCATGCAGTCCAGCGATTTGGATCATCGTGTTTGTTGATGTGATGAATGCACGTAGTAAGCTGTACTCTGATTAACTCAGGAGAATGGAGAATGGCTTCTACAATATTTTCTCAAATACAATGTCGATCTTCTTCTGGAATAGTATAAGGAGATATATCCCCTGGTGCCGTTTCCCGATCAGGCCAATATTGTGTTATCAAATTTTTCAAATAGCTAGCACCTGCCTGTCTCACAGGTAAGTCCAGTTGTTCTGACATAGCAATCTGCAGCAGTGTTGAAACAAAATTCAGAGACTTGTGTGCTTCGTTGAGCTGGCGCTCCGCGGCCTCACGTAAGGCTGGGTCCATGGTGCCCCGTAGGGCCTCGATTATGGTGTTGGGGTCCATGGTAGCGCGGACTCCGTCAAACCCAGGACTCCGGTGCAACTGTGCCAGGAATAGCACCACTCACTGCGCACATGGACCCGCCGCACTCCGCAGCGGCAACCGGCGTGAAAGGAGAGCTTAAATAATATTATCTCAACAAAAAAACAGTTCCAAGGTAAAAAAAAAAAAAATGTAAGAAGTAACGCATGCAAGTAAGAAATATTTAAATTTAAAACACCACTACATTTTTTTATAAGCATTTTTAAGTGAACTAATTACTCTCTCTTCAGAGGATTACAGTCAGACAAACCTGGCAATGTAGCCATCATAATAGCATTACAACAGAAGATATCATGGATACAAACCATATGAAGTTATTCCACCAACTGAATCTTTGCCACTGGAACCAGAGACAACAGGAATGCCACCATGGAGAAGGGCCGCAAGATCCTTATATCCTTCATAAAGCAGAGCATTGTAGAATGAGATGTAAGAATTATTATCTTTCTTAAGTATCATTTTAATTAGCATAGCTGCTCGTTGACGTTGAGTACACTAAAAAAAAAAAATTAAGTAGTTTAGTGTATAACAATCAATATGTTTACAACCCAAGTTAGTGGAGACCAGCACAAGTTCTGGAATTTTAAATAGTTTTAAGAAGGCATAGAGCATCTCAGCGGGCTTTACCTCATTTTTCACTTTTTCTTCTTCCAGTAATGTCAAAACTCCATCGCTAACCATGTGATCTATGATGCAGGATGTCTTGATGTCTTTTTCCAGAGCTTCTCTATGTTGCAATAAACAATTCCGAGCTTTTGCATCCATCCTGTCTCAAATTTTTCTCTCTCTGAACTACCAACCATGAGCTACAGGCAAAACATCAAAATAGTTGTCAGGACATTAAATATTTAAAAAAGATGTAATCTCACTGGTCATAAGAAATACAAAGAAAACAATTTTTTTTTTGCAAATTCTTATAAGTGGAAAAAGCTGATGCTTTGAAAGCTGTGAGAAAACAGGCATTCTTATTCACTACTTAGGGAGAGAAAAAAAAATGGTTGCAATTTTTCCAGAAGGCAGTAAGATATAGAAGTGTTTAAAATAATTCTCAATAACCCAGAAATCCCACTTCTAGAAATCTACCTAAAGAAGATATTCACATATGTATGCAAAATATTTACAAGGAGACTTACTAAAAAGTGCTCAGGTGAGGGGAAAAAAACGAACACAACCTAAATGTCCAGCATTCTGAATATAGATTTAAAAAAATAAGCTGGGGGCCAGCACCGTGGCTCACTAGGCTAATCTTCCACCTTGCGGCACCGGAACACCGGGTTCTAGTCCCGGTTGCCCCTCTTCCAGCCCAGCTCTCTGCTGTGGCCCGGGTGTGCAGTGGAGGATGGCCCAAGTCCTTGGGCCCTGCACACCATGGGAGACCAGGATAAGCACCTGGCTCCTGCCATCGGATCAGCGCGGTGTGTTGGCCGCAGCGTGCAGCCGTGGCGGCCATTGGAGGGTGAACCAACAGCAAAGGAAGACCTTTCTCTCTGTCTCTCTCTCTCTCACTGTCCACTCTGTCAAAAAAATAATAATAATAATAATAAGCTGGGGCAAGTGTTAGGCACAGCAGTTAAGAAGCCTCTTGGGATGCCAGGGTTTAAGTCCCTGTTTGGTTTCTGATCCACCTTCTTGCCAGTGTACATCTTGGAAGATGTACACGTGACAGCTACAATACTTGGATCTCTGTCACTCATGTGAGAGACCTGGATTGAGTTATGAGCTGCTGTCTTGGGCCTGGCTGAGCTCTGGCTGTTGTAGGCATTTGGAGAGTGAACCAGCAGATGGAAGATCTCTTGCACGTGCTTGCTTATTCAGTCATTCTGCCTTTCAAACAAATAAAAATAAATACAATTTAAAAAACTATACTACATTGGGGCCAGCACTGTGGCGTAGTAGGTTAAGCCTCTGCTGCCACCCAGCATCCAATATAGGTGCCGATTCATGTCCTGGCTGCTCCTCTTCTGATCCAGCTCTCCGCTTATGGCCTGGGAAAGCAGTAGAGGATGGCCCAAGTCCTTGGGCCCCTGCACCATGGGAGACCCAGACAAAGCTCCTGGCTCCTGACCGGATCGGCCCAGCTCCAGCCATTGTGGCCATTTGGGGAGTGAACCAGCAGATGAAGATTGCTCTCCGTCTCTCTCTCTGTAACTCTGCCTCTCAAATAAACAAATCTTTTTTAAAAAAGTATGCTACATAATGAAACATTAAATAAATAATATTTATAATATATAGCCATTTAAAATTATAAATGCGCTAAATATTTAAAATTATACATGCACTGAATATAAAGATGCTCATGACACATTGATTGAAAAATAAAAATATGATCCTATAAATAACAAGAAAATGTATTGGTACAGAAAAATATAGGAAGAAGCTTAGAATTTTATTCATCAAAATGTTTAGACTACTTCTGAGGAGCAAGATTTGGAGCCACACTCTTTTCTTCTCTCTACTGTCTTAATTTTTTCAATACACATTACCTTTTTTTTTAAAGATTTACTTTATTTTTTGAAAGTCACACAGAGTTACAGAGAGAGGTAGAGACACACAGAGAAAGAGAGATCTTCCATCTGCTGGTTCACTCCCCCAATGGTTGAGGACAACTGGGGCTGGCCAAGCCAGGAGCCAGGAGCCAGGAGCCAGGAGCCAGGATCCTCTTCCAGGTCTCCCCCGTGGGCACAGAGGCCCAAGCACTTGGGCCATCCTCCGCTGCTTTCCCAGGCACATTAGCAGGGAGTTGCATCGGAAGTGGAATGGCCAGGACTCAAATTGGCACCCACACAGGATGTGGGCACTGCAGGCCAGGGCTTTAACCTGCTGCGCTACAGCGCTTGCCCCCACATCACCATTTTTAACAATAAAAATATTCCTACTATAAATTAGCATTTTATAAAATAGAGGTGGGCATTTGGTAGAGCAGCTAAGAGGATACTTGGGAAGCCCACATCCCATAGCCGTGCCCAGGATTCAGTCCCAGCTCTGCTAGTGATTCAGCTTCCTGCTAATGTACACCCGGGAGGCAGCAGGTGAAGACTCAAGTACTTGGATTCCTCAAGAACTTTGGTCCTTGGAAAACCCTGACTGAGCTCCTGGCTTCGGCCTGGCACAGTCCCAACTGCTGCAGGCATTTGGGGAGTGAACCACAAGATGGCCTCTCTCTCTCTCTCTCTCTCTCTCTCTCTCTGCATTTACAAATAAAATAAACACATTCACATGGACCTTAAAAATTAATTTAAAAAATAGTGATCATATTGAAGTCCTAATGTTTCAAACTTCCTATTTTCTTTATCCAACATAAAACCAAACAGAGCATTGTTGGTACTGAATACCGATTCTTGAAGCAGATTTCTTGAATTAAGAAAGAACAATATTCTTTGCAGTAAATACTTTAAGTTTCTACCAATTTTATGTCAAGTAGAACATGAAGTTTTCCATGAGTATAAAACTCAATTCAGACTGTTTCTAGAAGAATTCACAACACAGAAGAAAAGAAAACGAGAGCAAATAATTAGAAAGTTTATGTCCTAAGTGCAAAACCGGAATTAAGCACAAGTAATTTAGAGCACACAGAAAAGGGGCAATAATCATCAAGCTTCAATGATGACCATAATCTTTAAAAGTCACCAACTGTAGCACTTGCAAAATTAAGGAAGTAGGGCATTTGTCTGTGTTGTCCAAGATCACAAAACGCCCAGGACCACCATGAAACTTAACTGACAGATACGATGAGAATCAAGGCCTTCATATCTTCAAACAACGTTTCTACTTTCTTAATTTAAACAAGAAAATTCCTCTATTCATTGCAATGGACTTGACAAAACAAAAACGAAATTTTTCACTTTAGTGTCTAGGCAAACAGTCGCTTGTTAGGCTTGCTGTGACTAATTCCCAATTCCACCTATCCATATTACACTTAAATTTTGTACACCGTACACTTGCCCCAAGTGAAATATTCTGTCCCACCCGTTACAATCACATCAAAATGGAAAGCCAAAACTTTTCACTGACATAAAATACAAAGTCGAGAGCAAATTCATCCAGGAACCCTGTAGCTTACTACTTCCTCATTAGATAATTTCTCTTCCTGCTAAGGAAGATAAAGGATTACTAAAGATCTCATTGTCCCCTAACCCTCAGACCCTGAAATCTGCTAAAATTACCTGGCTCAGAACATCGAGCAGGTCAACTTACGCAAACCTTTGATCAGAGATCTCATCGCGGGTGCGGCCAGTGGCAATGGGGCTTCCCACCGGGAACGCAGGAAGCGGGGCACAAGCTTTCCACGTCCCCAACGCCCCAAGGAACATCAGCCGCGCAGGTGCCTCACCTGGGCCTTCGCAACCCCCGGGCGCAGGAAAACCCGCGGGGCGGACCCCGCCCCGGGACACAAAGGGAGGAGGGCCAGCCGAGCTGCCGCTCTTTCCCTCGGGCGGCAGCTGCACCCGGGAGAGCCCGACACCACTCTGGACGCCACTACGGCTACTTCAAGCCCCACGCGGGTCGCCGACGGCCCGGCCTCCCCGCCTCCGGCTCCCTCAGCCCTTCTTTCTGCCCCAGGACACGCACTTCACACCAATCGTTACCTCCTCCTGCCTCAGGACCGACCAGCAGTCAAACACCCGCCGGGCCCGCCCCGCTGGATCAGCGCGCCCCCGCGCATGCAAATAAACACGCCGCTAGTCCCTCGAGGCGGCTGCCGCCGCGCGCGCCCCCGCCCGGCTTGTGCCCGGGCGCGTACGGGGAGGCGCACGCGCACGTAGGGAAGCGCGCCCCACACTCTACGTGGGGAGGCGTGACTAAGCCACAGGGGCGCGCCGCGTTGCTACCCAGAGCCGACCTAGACGGCGACGGCGGCCGTGCCGTTGACGTGGCGCGCGCGGCCCCGCCAGGCTCCACGCCCTCGGGTCCCTGCGCGCGCCCAGGAGCTGGGGTTCCTCTGGTCAGCCGCGGTGACGCCGAGGAAGGGGGAGGTGGGGCTCCGCCTCAGCAGAGGGAGCTGGGAGGCGGGAGGCTGGGAGACTGTGGAGCTGCAGGATGGCTGGGAGAGAAAAGGGACTGGATTCTGGGCGGCGCCAAGGCTGTGCGGGGGCGCGCTCACCGCCGGCGAGGCAAAGGCGGCCACGTCCCGCTCCCCCCGGCTGAAGAAGCCGCCCCGGGTGTGTCCTCTGGGCCTCCAGACATGTCCGAGGTGAAGAACAGGAAGAAATCTGGGCCCAAGGGAGCCCTCGCGGACCCCGGCAAGCGGAGCGAGGGCGGCCAAAGCTCAGAGGCCCAGGGCGGCCGAGGCGGGGGCTGGGCAGACCCCCGGACGGGCCTGAGCCTCCTGTCGCTGGGGACGTGCCTGGGCCTGGCCTGGTAAGTGGACGCGGAGCCACCCGGGCCGTGTCCGGCCTCCTGTGGTCGCCCTGCTCATCGGAGTCCAGCCCCTGATCCTTCCACCAGACCGGGCATCCCCCTAACCTCCAGCCCCCATGCTGGCGGCTGCTGGTCCCCCAGCCGCGACCCCCGGGGCCGTGCCTCTGAGGTCTGCAGATTAAGGACAAACCTCGTTAGGCGCCTGATCTTTGACGTTGCTGTAAACCGTTACTCGTGGGCGCTGGGTGCCGGTCACATTTGCCCCATAGATGCCTAATGGGAACTTTGTAACCTTTAGATTTCATTATCTCAAAGCAGCAGTGTTAGCTGATTCCAGAGTTGGAAGGATTTCTCCTATTTCGATCAACGTGCATGCGTTGTGAATTTAAAGTCTTCCTAAATTACAGGTTAAACTTCTGTATGCATTGTAAAACTACAAAAACAGAGCGCTTGTGTTTACTTGAGACTAAATATATAGCCTTACACCCAACACAGTTGTTGTTAGGAAAAATTAACATTGGAAACAACGATGGGAAGCTATTTATTTTACTTAACCTATTTTCTTTAGGAATAATCTAACTCATTTTAATAGCAAGACTGACACGGTACGATTAATAGAGTTTACCTTTCTTCATCAATTTGTAAGATATTTAGGAACAGTTGTTACTCTTCCAGAGACCCTGAAGTTCCTCTAATCTAAAACATTTTTGATGCTAGCACATTTTGAATCATACTTTACTGGTGACTCATCCCAGGTCGTGTATTTCTTGAAGTTCATAAAAAATTTGTTAAAATAAAGTGAAATGTTGATTATTATACGTTCTTTTTTTAAAAAAAAAAAGTATGTTTTACTCAGGTGATACTTGTTTATGTAATTAGGTGTACTGGATTTACTGTTTAAATAAACTGCTCTTACACCTTCAAGTGCCTCACCTTCTTTAGATGAATTATTTTCTTTTTTTTTTTTTGACAGGCAGAGTGGACAGTGAAAGAGAGAGAGACAGAGAGAAAGGTCTTCCTTTGCCGTTGGTTCACCCTCCACTGGCCGCCGCAGCCAGCACGCTGCAGCCGGCGTACCGCGCTGATCCCATGGCAGGAGCCAGGTACTTATCCTGGTCTCCCATGGGGTGCAGGGCCCAAGCACTTGGGCCATCCTCCACTGCACTCCCTGGCCACAGCAGAATGCTGGCCTGGAAGAGAGGCAACCAGGACAGAATCCGGTGCCCCGACCGGGACTAGAACCCAGTGTGCCAGCGCCGCAAGGCGGAGGATTAGCCTAGTGAGCCACGGCACCGGCCATGGATGAATTATTTTCAAAATACCTTTTTGTATTGGGAAAGATACTGAGTTAATAGAACTTATGCTAAAACATTTTTGCTGGTTTTAGTTGCTAAATTTATTAATTTCCATTAATTAGCTAAAACTTCATAATCATGTGAGATCAATTACATCACAAAAATGTTCAGCTTTCCTCTAATTTGGTTGCTGTCCTCAGAAAATGCTGCAATAGGAAACTAAACTTTTAAGGAAATAAAACTTGAAATACTGTTGGGGGTTTTTGTTTTTAATTGCCTACCATAAAGACAAAAAACATGTTGCACTGATTTGGAAGTTTAAATTTGAACTATGTCTACAAAATGTCAATGCAGAATCAAAAGTTATTTTTTAAATGGACAGTTATATCATCTTCAAAATAGTTGACTTGGTTGCTCTTATGAAATCTCCCATAAGAATTTAAGTTTAATATGTATACTCTACATATACATATATATATGTATATATACATAACGTATACATATACATTGTTCACTGTGGCAAAATATTCATGGTCAATTTGGGAATTCAAATTTATCCTCATAAGACATTTGCAAGCAATTTTCAAATAAACATTCGGCACCTGTTAAAATAGTTAAAAGCACACTAAAGGTGCTGCGCGCCTCTTGGGATGCTCACATCCCACATGGAAGTGCCTGGGTTCAAGTCTACCTCCACTTCAATGCAGCTTCCTGCTGAAGCACACCCTGGGAGGCAGCAGCTGATGGCTCAAATGCTTGGGTTCCTGTCACCCATGTGGAAGACCTAGATTGAGTTCCACACTCCTTGCTTTGGGCTGGCCCAGTCCTGGTTGTTGCAGGCAGTTGAGCAGTGGACCAGCAGATGGAAATATTGTGTCTCTTTCTCTCTAAGTAAATTCAAGATTTATTTACTTGAAAGGCAGATTTACAGAGACAGGTCTTCCATCAGCTGGTTCAATCCCCAGATGGCTGCAACTGGCAGACTGAAGCCAGAAGCTTCTTCCAGGTTGCCCACATGGGTGCAAAGTCCCAAGGATTTGGGCCATCCTCCGCTACTTTCCCAGGCGCATTAGCAAGGAGCTGGATTGGAAGTGGAGCAGCCAGGGCTTGAACCGATGCCCATATGGGATTGCCGACACTGCAGGCCGGGGCTTTAACTTGCTGTGCCACAGCACCAGCCCCTCTAAGTAAATTAATTTTTTAAAAAAATTTAAAAACCACGCTACCCTTATCATATCAACCTGGATGCCAGTTTGAAAACAGTTTTTCAGAACCAAAGCAGCCTTCTCATGGCACACGTAGCTTCTATAAAATTATTATCAAGCACTTAAAATAGTGTCTAGCACATGTAAGTAGTAAATAAAATGTTTTATAATTCATCACCATTCAGCCCACTTTTCATTGCTTGTGCTTAGTCGTCTTCGTGCTTGTTTTTTCATGCATGAGCTATCCACGTGTAGCAAGGGTGAAATCTGTTTTTATTATGGTGAGAGGCTAACCATTTCAAAAATAACAATCATAAGAATATTTTCACTAACATGAGAGTTCTCTTGAAGTTTATGCTTGATACATAAATTTGAAGAGAAATCCAGAGATGGGTATTAAAAATATTTAATAAAACCAAATGTTCTGGGGCCCAGCTGTGGCACAGCAAGTTAAGTCACTGTATGCAGTGCTGGCATCCCATATGGGCACTAGTTCGAGTGCCAGCTGCTCCACTTCTCATCCAGCTTCCTGCTAATGCACCTGGGAAAGCAGCAAAAAATGGCCCAAGTCCTTACCCACATGGGAGTCCTGGAAGAATCCCCTGGCTCCTGGCTTCTGCCTGACCCACCTCCAATCATTGGAGCCACGTGGGGAGTGAACCAGTGTATGGAAGATTTCTGTCTCTTTCTCTGTTTCTGTAACTGCCTTTCAAATAAATAAAAATAAAATCTTAATAGTAATCCAGTTGGCCTTTCTAGAATCTCCTACCTAGCCCCAAGCCAAAGGAGTATATCAATCTGATTGCCTGGACTTGGAAGATCTCTTATTTTTCCCTCTCTAACTCTGTTTTTCAAATAAATAAAATATTTTTAAAAATCAGAATTCTTAATGTATTTTTGTAGAAGATTAACCTTCACACTCTTTTATAAGAATGCTTTCATTTTGAATAAATTCCCTGATCTATAGGATAAATTACAATGGAGTAACATTGTGAGGTAATGAATAATGAAACTAGCCCCCGAAATTAACTTTCTTTAAGGTGATCTCTCTATCCTTGGCCTCTAGCTCCTGATTTTAGATAAACCTGTACTCTTAAAAAGGAGAGGGGGGGAATTCTTAAAACCCAGGAGTAGGAATGAGATAGCCATTAAAAAATATTATGTCTATCCATCTGTCTTTGAAAATTAGAGTAACTGTTTTCTAATAACCAGAAGATTTAAAAGTTCATATTGGTGCAACTGGAAACCATTATACTTAGTGAAATAAGCCAGTCCCAGAAAGATAACACCTTTCCCCTGATCTGAGGTAACCAACAGAGTACCTGAAATACAATGTGTTGGAGTGAAATAGACATTTTGAAAGTCCATGATTGTTTACAGCCCTTGTCTCTTCAGTTGAGGAACAGTGTTTTCTTTATCTTCTTCATACTATTTGTTGAACTCTTTTACTTAGTGTAGGATTAACTATATGATCATTAAGTAAATTGAAAATAGATCTTTGTAAAAATTAACAATAGGAATGAGAGAGGGAGGAGGAAGAAGAGTATGGAAGTGTCACTATGTTCCTAAAACTGTATATATGAAGTACATTAAACTTGTATAACTTAAAATTTAAAAATAAATTTTAAAAATGTTAATATTGGCATGCATGACAAAAGACAATCTGTATGTAACCTAGGATTGTAAGTATCTCATATGATAGACACTAGCCAGCATCGTCAATCAGAATTTCATGTAACATTGTAAACATTGTTTAAAAAGCAAAAAATTTGGGGCCAGTGTTGTGGTGCAGTGGGGTTAGTCTGCAACGCCAGTATCCTTTGAGTGCTGGTTTGAATCCCGGCTGCTCCACTTCTGATCCAGCTCCCTGCTAAATGTGCACATGGGAAAGCAGCAGATGATAGTCCAAGTACTTGGACCCCTGCCATTAATGTGGGAGACCCAGAGTTCCTGTCTCCTGGCTTTGTTCTGGTCCAGCCCCAACCCTGGCCATTGTGGCCATTTAGGGAGTGAAGCAGCTGATGGAAGATCTCTTCTCTTTTCTCTCCCCCCCGCCCCACTCTCTCCTCTCTAGCTCTGACTTAAAATAATTAAAAAAAAAAAAAAAAAAGAAAGCAAAAAATCCATTTTGACTTGGACAGTTTTACAGCAACTGTCAGATGAATGATGCCATTTATGAGTTTGGAACATCACCCACCATCTTGCAAAGATGCACAAAGCTAAGACAGCTGCATTTGAGAAGTGTTTCACCTCATTAAGTTTGGGGATTTTTAAATATTTCTCTTTCACTGGAAATGAAATTTTACTAAACATGGTCAATTAGTGGTTCTCAGCTTGCCTGTGTACCATGTCACCAGGAAAGCTCTTGAAATTTTCAATAGCTCAGCCACATTCCATACCAATCAAATCACAATCTGTGGGTAGGACTCAGGTATTGGACTTTGTTACAGCTGCCAGATGATCCCAATATGCTGTGAAACTTTTGAACTACTGGCCCCAGTAAAATGATTTAGGCAGGCACTTCTCATGGTCCTGCTCCACTGCTTTTTGATGACTCAGTATACAAAGAGTTTCAACTGCTGCTTTTTCTGAGCCTGAAGAATTGAGCTAAAGTAGATAACCAAAATGTATTAGATCCAAGGCATTTCTTTTGTGCTTGTTCATTCAACTCCTGTTCAGATGTTGATTTATTGGGATAGCTCTTTTCCTTTTTTATGCTTCTGCCCTGTACTGTTTGCCAGATGAGGAACACACTCCAATTTTAGAATGTCTAAAGTGCATCTATATCAGTTGTATCACATATCATGGAGTATATTCAATTGTACAGTTTATACACCCTGCATAGCACCTGTGTTCTGTTGTCTCTGACAATGGCTGTCTTGTGTTTTCATACCTCTTCTGTTACTTTGCACTTTCTAATCACTGTCACCTCTCCTTTTATCCCACTGTTTTTCATTAGTCTACTTGCCTACATTTTAGTTTTAAAACTCTTGATAATCTTGTTTCTCCTACATTTCAATGTAAAAGCACTTTTTTTTTCTAGAGATTGCCCAAATGGCCTTGAGAAAAAAAGTTAAGATCAAAGATCTTGTTCTAAATAACGTAATGTATCTTCCTCCAAAATACTTCTTCTGCATATAGCCAATAGATATTTTACATCTTAACTGTGAACTGTGAGCAAGGGCAATGTTCTACTCTTCTTCTCATGAGGTAAGCCAGTACCTACAGTGCACATGGCTGTTTTGAGTGTTCATTAAAATAAAATAAAGGATGCATCTTGGCCATGCAAGAATGTATGTTCTTAACAGAAGAGGGTATAATACTTCTTTGAAGTTCAGATTTAAATGGATATAAATTAGGCAGTAATGATTATTTTTTCTTTTCCAGGTTTGTATTTCATCAGTCAGAAAAGTTTGCAAAGGTGGAAAGCCAGTATCAGTTACTGAAATTAGAAACCACCGACTTCCAAGGACTTCAAAGGAAAATCAGTTTAATTTCAGAAAAGGTAATTATGATTGACTTATCTGGGGGTGTTTGTCCAGTTTTTCTTCCCCACCACCATTCTACCCCACCAGAATTTCTTTCCTCATGCCTTTTATACCACTACTCTTTTAACTCTCATTGGTCTTTTTTCTACCTGTTGAAATTCTCCCTCTAATCCAATTTGGACTTAGATTATATGTATTTTCTTAAGATTTTATTTACTTATCTGAGAGGCACAGTTACAGAGAGAGAGAGATGGAGAGACAAAGAGAAACACCTTCCATCCGCTAGCTCACTCCTCAAATGGCTGCAACAGCCAGAGATGGGCCAATCCAAAGCTGGGGCCAGGAGCTTCTTCCAGGTCTCCCATGTGGGTGCGGGGACCCAAGCACTTGGGCCATCTTCCACTGCTTTCCCAGGCCATCAGCAGAGAACTGGATCAGAAGAGGAGCAACCGGGACACAAACCAGCACCCATATGGGATGCTAGCACCGCAGACAGAGGTTTAGCCTACCACAGCAGGGCGCCAGCCCCTCAGATTGTACCTTGAAAGGACAAAGATTGTTTTATATAACAATTTCTAATATTGGATAAAATTAATACCTTCATTTTAATATGTTCATTTTCTACTTATGTGTCAGTTATCTAAAGCATTGAATATATGGTTGATCTTTAGGTATGAAGTTAGAATATGAATAGCACTTACTGGAAAAAGATCAATTTTTTTCTTTCCATTTTTAAGGATATATACATATGCATGTATGAACGACTGGTCTAAAAATAAATGTTTCTTTAGACAAATAAGAGTTCTAATGAAAATTAAAATAATATAATGTCTATGTTGTGTTTCTTCAAATTGCAAATGCTGATTTCTACCAGGCATATCATTATTGTGATTCTTAGAAATGTGAGACAAAGCATTTTGTAACCCCCACGTTTTCAGGGTTGAGTCAACTATAATCAGTAAGCATCATGTGAACCTTTTCTAGCTACCAGAAACCAAGCTAGCACTAGGAATCATGCTTTGTTCATTATTCATTCACTAAATCTTTATTCATGTCATAAAGTATACAAGGGCTTGTTCTTGGGACCATGGTGGTCAAGGGTGTTACAAAACTAAGGTGAGGGGTAGGCATTTGGCACAGGATTGAGATGCCTGTTGGGACACCAGCGTTCTGTATCAGGAGTGCTTGGGTTCACATCCAGGCTTCACTGCCAATTCCAGCTTCCTGCTGCGCCTCCTGGAAGACAGCAGGTGATGGCTCAAGTGGTTGTGTCCTTGCCACCCACATGGGAGATGTAGATTGAGTTCCCAGCTCCCAGGCTCGGCCTGGCCCAGGCCTGGCTATTGTGGGTATTGGGGGAGTAAACCAGTGGTTACGAGCAGGCGCTTGCTCTCTCTCTCCCTTTCAAAGAGAGAGATGAAATGGAAGCCCCAAATCCCAGCCACCGCATGCGTGGAATGAGTATGTAATCTTCCAGAAGAGAAGACCGTAGGTGAAAATTGAGCATCTCTACACATGCTGGGTAGTCCAAGGAAGGTGAGCTTGGCTGTGGACAGGAACTGCAGTGGAGTTGATATTTTGACGTAAAACAGAGTTGGAATCTGGTTATAATTGTTGGGAGCATTCCACCTTATTGATTTAAATCCAGAAACTAGAAATTCAGTCTACTTAATTAGAAACTAATGAAAATATATTTTGAACCAAGTTAAATTTCCTTTTTAAATGAAAATTTTTGTGACAAGTAAAATGCTTTTGAGGCAGATTTCAAAATATCATCATAGAATCCAAGAAATCGTCTTTTCATAGCTCTTTGTCTCACAGTCTGCCCTGAGAGTAGTTTGCTAATAGCTGCCTTTTCACAAAGCTGGCCCTAAAGGTCAGCATAATATCGTAGGAGGGGAGAACAACTGGATGTGGGCTCTCATCACAATTGTGTTCTTCGATAAATCACTTTGACTTCTCTTGGCCTTCATTTCATCACTTATTAAATAAGATTTTTAAATGCATAAGACAACATTTAATATATATGCAAACTCTGAAAACCTTCAAGCACTAATTTAAGGTATTTGCTTTAAAAAAAAACTGTTAAAATATATTGACAGCCTATAAATGCTAGTTACTGTGGTATACTAGTCACTAAATGTTTTCACATTAAATGTTGAGAGTTATTTTCCTGGTAAGTTGATCTTGGACCTGAGGAATACCACCTCTGATGACAGTGATGTTCTTCTGGTGAACAGCCTAAATGGGAAGACACCTCAGATGAAGATAAGTTTGCCTCTTCAGAATACTTCTAATGAAAGTACTAAACCTAATACTGCACACATACTACCAATATATCAGTACTTCTCAGAAGTGGTATTTTAAGGGAGTTTGTACTATAGCTATGTATGTACATTCAAAATAATTTCTAAACAATGTCTCAGAGTGCTCCAGTTATCTTACGCGGTACGGTCAGTATGGATACACTATGCTACCTATCACCTGCAACTTCTTTAGGTCTTGATTGGGGTGGGCCCAGGAGGCATATGGCATTTTTCTTAAACACCAGCAAACTTGGCCTTGTATACTGAAATATGGGGACCATGAAAAAACTATGACTTGGTCTCTTCCCCTAAGGAATTTAGATAGAAGCTTTCAGAACTTCACATGGATAATTCATCAGTCTGTTAAAGAATCAGATTTCAGAGTCACTTCTAAGCCTCTTTTTCACTGACCTCCAACTTCGTATCTCTACTCTGAGCATACATTGTTCCCTGTGCTAACTCTGTTGTGATACTAATCATAGTAGATGTGATTTTTGTCAGTAATGTGCCTCCCTTACTTGTCTTTAGAGTGAATACTCTGTGTTTTCTATTTCCCTAGCATCTAATAATGGAACTAGCTCACAGCATACACTCAATGGATCTTATTGGGACTCTAGAATATAGAACACGGAAGACCCAAAACAGTATCTCCCCTATCAAATTGTGAAATCAAGGACTACTATGTGTATATTTTACATCCAACGTCTAGTACAAAGCCTGCCACAGAAACACTCTCAGCATTTTTAAATTATTTTTGCTAAGTGCCAAATATGTGGGAGGTGCATAATTAATCAGTTTTACAGGACAGGTGTCCAGCCTGACCGGTGTTCAGGCTGTCAGAATTAGAGCTGTGGAAGGGTGTTACACTAAAGGACTGAGATCTTGCCTGACCCTTAAAGTCAGGATAGAACTTAAGTAAGGAGGAGAAGAGAATAGCATAGGGAGAGGTATTAGAATTTGGGACTTTATTCTAGAAATATTAGGAAACACCAATGGTTTTTCAAAAGAGTACCATGATACACAAGCAGTTTTTAAAAGCTTAATTTGCTATTAGGGTGATATAGAGAAGAAGTGACTAGATAAGACTCCTTCTAGACTGCTTCCCCAGATCACTAAAGTCTGGGTTGGGTCTCCACTTAAATGTTCCCATTGTCTTTCACCTATCACAGTGCATATAGGCACATCCTTCTCCCCAGTTAAACTAAGCTGCTGGGCAGAACTGTGTTTTTTGTTTTTATTTTTATTGGTCTTGGTTTTGGTACATTCTTCAACACAATGCTGCAAACATTTGATGAATTAATGATCACTTCTAGACATTTTAGTAGTCTCCAAAGCTGTTGTCTATGCATGTGTAGACTAAAGAGGTCCATGACCTGGCCTTTTTATATTCCAGATACATATTAGGAGGTATCAGAGGCCTACCATGGTTTTCTTTTTTTTTTATAGGAAAAAATGCATTTTACTTAATGACCAAGTACACACACATATTCACATGTATCACTAAAACAATATTTACTTTTACCCAGTGGGACCCATCACAAAATGTTCTGCTCTTGTTCTTGCATTTTAAAATTAAGTAAACAAATTTTGCAGATCATGAATCTGTCATAAACTATAACTGCTGCAGAAAATTGTCAGCAGTAATTTACAGTCTTCCTCCTTCTTAGAATTAGCCCACTATAGCATTCATTACTCAGAGAGAGGAAAATCTTACATAGCCTTGCTACTGTGTACCAGCCTGGACTGGTTTATCACCTACCCTTCCAGGCCTAACAGCTGAGGAAATGACTTGCAACCGTGTAATAGGGCCCTATGTCTGTTAAATATTTTGTATAAAATTTGATCCCTATTTGATCTCCACAACAACCCTGTGAGGTAGCCAGGGAGAATATTGTCAGATTCACTTTACAGATAATGAAGTTGAAGTTCAGAGAGGTTAAGTAACTTCCCCAGTTACTGTATATGTTGCAGGAGGCAGAGTAAATACAGCAAGACTCAACAACCTTTAGGTTGAGAGCTCTCGTCCCAGTACAATACAGTTTCTAACCTTAAGTATTTTTATCACCTCATTCTTTTTTAAATTATTGATTCAACATTATAGAGGATACAACAAAAGATTTAATTTGAAACTTATGCCAAGCTTATGCTTCTCCAACCATGGCCACAGAAAATAAATGTTTTTAGAAAGCACAGTTCTTTTGACTCTAGTCTAATGGAACATAAGTAACAGGAAAGACCTTCAAGGTCAAAAAAATTGAAGAGAAGTCAGAGGAAAGGATATAAAAGGGATGTTATTAATGGGTTTCAGTCCCTTTAAGCTTTGACTTTTGTGAGAGGGTTCAATGGAGAGGTTTAATGCAGATGAGACTTGAAACTTTTGAAGAGGATCTGAGTCTTGACGAGGTTATTCAAACTCAAATCTTGAATGCACAATGATAGGCCATGCTCTTCAAAAACTTGGTACTTTATGCTCTCTCAAATTGCTAGGATTTGAATGCCACCATACAAATTGATTCATGTTTTTTGTCTATTAATGGTCCGTGGCTTTCTTTAGATGAAGTCCATGTTAGAATCCATAGTTATCAGTGTTCTGCAAAACTGCAGGAGATCCAAGGCTCCCATCGGACCACAGACGAACCACCCCTCTCATCACAACACCTACCACCCTACTATGGTTTTCACATGCTTAGAACACTTTACCATTTGATATGAACTTGCCCTACTAAAGATTTAAAGATAAATTTATTTACTTATTTATTTATCTGAAAAGAGTAACAGAAAGGGGGTGATACCAACAGAGTCCTCCATCCACTGGTTCACTCCCCAAGTGTCCATAACACCTGGACCTGGACTAGGCCAAAGCCAGGAGACAGGAACTCCATCAAGGTCTCCCACAAGGGTGGCAGGAACCCAAATACTTAGGTCACCATTTGCTGTCCCCCAGGGACATTCGCAGGAATCTGGACCAGAAGTAGAGGCAGGACTCAATCCCAGGCCTCCAAAAAACCCACAGCACAAAAAAATGCATTTCCCTAAACTGTTTTCTTTTTCATTCATTCTTGCCTTTGTAAAATGTGATTGCTAGTACCTTCTCTGTAAGAGGTTAATCAAAAAAGGTATATTTTTTTTTCCAGGTAGGAACTCCTCCAGAATCATAGCATTTAGGAAAAGTAAAAAAAAAAAAAAAGCTAAATAACAATAAAAATGACATGTATGTTACTTTCATAGGAGCAAAAAAAAGGAAAAATGATGTATTTCAAGCTTCTCTAGCATTTTTAAGAAATATTTATTTATTTATTTTGAAAGTGAGAGAGAGAGAAAGGAAGAGACACACAGAGAGAGAGGTCTTTATCAACTGGCCTACATCCCAAATGGTTGCAATGACCAAGACTGGGCCAGGCTGAAGCCAGGAGCCAGGAGCTGCTCCCAGGTCTCCCAAGTGGGTGGCAGGGGCCCAAACACCTGAGCCATCTTCTGCTGCTTTTCCCAGGCCTTTAGCAGGTAACTGGAACTGAAGTGGAACAACCAGGACACAAACCAGCACCCATAATGGGATACTGGCATCACAGGAAGCAGTATAGCCCACTATACCACAACACCAGCCCCTTCTCCAACATTTTTATCCTCAATATATCTTTATGAAGATGCACAAGTTGGGGCCTGCACTGTGGCACAGCGTGTTATGCCACTGCCTGCAGCAATGGTTTGAGTCCTGGCTATTCCACTTCCAATCCAGCTCCCTGCTAAAGCACCTGGGAAAGCAGTGGAAAATGGCCCAAGTCCCTGGACACCTGCACCCGCGTGGGAGACCCAGAAGCAGCTCCTTGCTCCTGGCTTCAATCTGGCCCAACCCTAGCCGTTGTAGCCATTTGAGGAGTGAACCAGCAGATGAAAGATCGCCCTCTGTGTCTATCCTTCTCTCTCTCTAACTCTGCCTTTAAATAAATAAGTAAATTTTTTTGAAAAAGAAAAAGAAAATGCATAAATATCCAGGATTCAGGTGTATATTTTTCTAAAATGAGGCTAATCTAGTAAATTTGTTTAAAACAAATCAATAAATGTTTTTGTCCATATAATTCTGATATACTTGGATAGTTTAGACATCCTCAGAATTTGAAGTGGGTATATTATGCTCCTTATTGTTAAAGTTTGTTTCTCCAATGTAAAAATTATTAAGTAGCCTTAGGAATTGTTTTGTGTTATAAATGCAGCTTGAGTCTACTGAAAGTATCCTGCAGGAAGCTACATCATCCATGTCTTTGCTGACCCAGTTTGAACAGGAAGTATCCAGCCTCCAAAGTATCATGCATGACATTCAAAATAATGAAGAAGTGCTCACTCAAAAGATGCAAAACCTTAATCAAAAACTCCAGAATATTACAGATTTCTGGAAGAGAAGCCTAGAAGAAATGAATGTTAACACAGACATTTTCAAATCAGAAGCAAAACACATACATTCTCAAGTTACTGTCCAAATCAACTCTGCTGAGCAAGGAATAAAATTGCTCACTGAACGGCTAAAAGATTTGGAAGATAGCACACTAAGAAATATTAGAACAGTAAAAAGACAAGAAGAAGAGGATCTTCTGAGAGTAGAAGAGCAGCTTGGCTCTGATACAAAAGCAGTTGAAAAGCTAGAAGAGGAGCAGCACGCTCTCTTTGCCAGAGATGAAGATCTGACTAATAAACTTTCCAACTATGAACCGAAAGTTGAAGAATGCAAGACACATTTACCAACAATTGAAAATGCTATTCGCTCTATTCTCAGAGTCTCTCAGGATCTGATAGGAACAGAAAAGAAAATGGAAGACTTGACTTTGCAGATGTTTAATATGGAAGATGATATGCTGAAAGCAGTATCTGAAATAATGGAGATGCAGAAAACCCTTGAAGGAATGCAGTATGACAATAGCATACTAAAGATGCAAAATGAACTGGATGTTCTAAAAGGAAAAGTTCGTGACTTTGCAGCATATTCAAGTACAAAAGAAAAGGGAATTCTAGAAGATCATACTCTAGAAAATAAAAGAATTGATGATGACTTTTAAATTCACATTTATTCTGATGACCTATATCATTATATGTAAATTGATCAGTTTCATGTTTTTGGGTTATTTGAAAATGCCTCACTTTATCCTGCATTATTGGAAGATAGGTGAGATATCTACACACATGGATTATCCACATAATTAGAGCTTATATTTTTAACTAAAACATTTTTTGTTTTTATCATTTAAAATAGAAAAAATTTGCAAATATACATTTCTCTATTTTAAAACAATATGTTTAGTGTTTTGAAAACATTTTTCTAATAATGAATGAGCGTCATTATTAATTTCACGTACTATTTTGGGCCCAAATACACTGCTGTCTCTAGGAACTATTAAACAGTTTTTACCATTTCATTAAATTACTGTTTTTCAAACCTGTGTCTATATCTTATACCTTTTCTATCAACTTACCTTGCTGTCAGGTTAGTTGGGAATATGCCTGTTTCAGCCATATTCTTCATGTTCCTTTGTAATTCACTGCAGGCTGAAAATCCATATAACCAAGTTCATAGGAATTTTGTTCAAATAAAAGTTAATGTGCCTGAGGGAGAGCCTGGAGGCTTTGCTATGAATTACTATGCACTTTCTAGAAATTATAAAGCCTGGAGCCGGTGCCGCGGCTCACTAGGCTAATCCTCCGCCTTGCGGCGCCAGCACACTGGGTTCTAGTCCTGGTCGGGGCACCGGATTCTGTCCCGGTTGCCCCTCTTCCAGGCCAGCTCTCTGCTGTGGCCAGGGAGTGCAGTGGAGGATGGCCCAAGTCCTTGGGCCCCCACCCCATGGGTCTCCCACCCCATGATGGGAGACCAGGAGAAGCACCTGGCTCCTGCCTTCGGATCAGCATGGTGCGCCGGCTGCATCGCAGTGGCCATTGGAGGGTGAACCAACGGCAAAGGAAGACCTTTCTCTTTCTCTCTCTCTCTCACTGTCCACTCTGCCTGTCAAAAAAAAAAGAAATTATAAAGCCTGGGAAATGATTTCTTTTTTGTTAAGGTTCTAAACTGTGTTACAGATACTAGTAAGAAATTTTAAATACACTTAAATATGTGCTTATTTAAGACCTTCCTTATGAATTGTGTTATGAGCTTTTGGATTATCTTCATATACATGGGCTTTTTAATAGAAAGCTTTTATTTAATAAATATAAATTTTATAGGTACAACTTATGGATTATAGCGGTTCTTCCCCCCATACCCACCCTCCCACCTCCAAACCGTCCCACCTCCTACTCCCTCTACCATTAAGGTTCTGTTAGACTCTTGAGTTTGCTAGATATATGATCTCTAGATAAACGAGTCTACTTAAAATAAAAATACACTAACAAACTTATGAAAAGGAAAGGCAGCATTATAATAAATGGTGACAAATGTGATATTACAAATATGATATTACAAGTATGTCATTAAGGGCCAGCACTATGATGTAGTAGATTAAGCCGCCACCTGCAGCATCCCTTATGGACACTGGTTCATGTCTGGGCTGCTCCTCTTCCAATTGAGTGCTTTGCTAATGGGCCTGGGAAAACAGTGTAAGGTGGCCCAAGCACTTGGGCCCCTGCACCCGCGTGTGAGACCCAAAGAAGCTCCTGGCTCCTGTTATCAAGTTTAATAACAACTTTATTTGAACTTATATATACCCTGGTAATGGTTATAGAGAGTAAATAAAAACAAGATGACCACTGTACTCTATAGTGACATTTACAAGGGAAGCGAAAACTTGTACTTCTACCTTATTACATGAGTAAATTATTGAAATATATTTACATGTAGATGTTTGTGTCTCTGTGTATTCCTTTACTAAGCAGGTTTTCCTGTTTTTAAAAAACTGCATTAGGGACCAGTGTTACAGTGGGCTAAGCCGCTGCCTACAATGCTGGCATCTCATATGGTACCAGTTTCAGCCCCTGCTGTTATGGCCATCTGGGGAGTGAACCTGTGGATGGAAGATATCTTTCTCTGTCTCTCCCTCTTTCTCTGGAATGCTGCCATTCAAATAAATAACTAAAAAAGAGAGAAAGAGAGAGAGAGAGAGAGAAAGACTCCCTAGAGATAAATACACTCATATGTCTTCCTCTGTTTCTTCGATTCATTTATTTCAAACTTGAAATTTCAAAAACTTCCCTGTATGTCAGATATTAAATTACATTGTTCATCTTTTCTTTAAGGAAAACTACCAATATCCTAAGACTCATTTTCTTAGCTTTGTAATTAATGAAAAATTCTATCAATTATGAAGCAGCACTTGGGTTGCCCCCTGGCACCCCTCTCCATTCCAGATTCCTGCTAATGCGCACCCTGGGAAGCAGCAGGTGATAGCCCTAGTACCTGAATCCCTGCCACCAACCAAGGAAACCCAGCCTGAGTTCCAGGCTCCTGGTTCCAACTTGGCACCAACTTGTGAGCATTTGGGGAGTGAACCAGTAGATGGAAAAATCTCTGCAGGGCTTTCTTTCTGCCTTTCATATTTATTTTTTTTTTAATTTTAAACTACAATTTCAAGACTATTACACTATAAGCTACCAAGTGAGACAAAGAGGTTTACCAGCAGCTCCCTAATCTGATCCTTCTAAGAAGCAGCTAAGCTCTTTCCGAGGTGCTGGAATTATGTAATGCTCTTAAGCTACAGTTACTCTGCCAGAATGGATACGTAATAAAATGTGACCGAAAAATCAAATAGATGAAAGTAGGCTACCTACTCCTTTCACCCTTGGGAGACTGTTTCAGCAAATACACTGTATTAGAGAACGTTCTCCTTAAAAATAAAACATGGTTTTGCAATTACTAGTTGATTTCCTTCCTAATTGAAGCTACTCCTTAATGTCCTATCCCACAATAACATTTTCACAAAGCTGATTTCTCTAACAAAAACAGTTTGAATCACCTCCTCCATGAATGATTAACATAATGTAAAGCAATTGAAGAGAAAAAAATCCTAAAATACGTTTTAAAACCAAACATATGATGGCCAAGGAAGGAATTGCTACTTTGACTTCACTGTCATACTGTCCCATTTCAGCACTTCACCATAATTCTTTTGCACCTATTTAAAGTTAAAACTATTTACAACCATTTAAAGTTAAAACTGCCATCAAAACAATATTCTGAGCAAATTATGTTTTTATTTGCATTGAACTAAATTTATGTTAATAAAAATAGCTGAGTAAGCCAAATTCAACTTAAGAAAGATAATTCACAAAGAAATACACATTTTGGCCTGCGCCGCGGCTCACTAGGCTAATCCTCCACCTTGCGGCGCCGGCACACGGGGTTCTAGTCCCGGTCAGGGCACTGGATTCTGTCCCGGTTGCCCCTCTTCCAGGCCAGCTCTCTGCTGTAGCCAGGGAGTGCAGTGGAGGATGGCCCGAGTACTTGGGCCCTGCACCCCATGGGAGACCAGGATAAGTACCTGGCTCCTGCCATCGGATCAGCGTGGTGTGCCAGCCGCGGCAAAAGGAAGACCTTTCTCTCTGTCTCTCTCTCACTGTCCACTCTGCCTGTCAAAAAAAAAAAAAAGAAAGAAAGAAGGAAAAGAAATACACATTTTAAGAAAAAAAGTTTCTTTTAAACTACAAATTTAATTTTGTAAAGATGTTTTGCATTTTGCATTTTGTTTTATTCTTGCTCTCTGAGTTTCAAATTATCCATTTATAGACATTCTACATCCAAACTATACTACAAGCTCTCAGAAAGTAGAGACTATTCTCTTTTTTCTTAATATTTTAAATTTGAACAGTAGAGAGAGAACTTGCATCCACTGCTTCACTCCCCAAATTCCTGCAACATCTGGAGCTAGGCCAGGAACTCCATCTGGGTCTCTCACATTGGTGGTAGGGACCCAAGTACTTGAGCCATCAAATACTGCCTGCCAGGACTTGAACCTGGTGCTCTGATATGGGATGCAGGCATCCTAGGTGGCATTTTAACCAACGCATCAAACACCTACTGCCCCCCTTCGTTTCTTTTCTTCTTTTTTTTTTTTTTAAGATATATTGATTGATTTGAAAAGCAGAGTTGACAGAGAGAGGGAAAAATGGTGGGGGAGGGAGGAAGTGGGTGTTTGGTGTTTCCATCTGCAGGTTCACTCCCCAAATGTCCACAATGGCAGGAACTGGTCAAGTCCAAATCCAGGAGCCAGGAGCTTCTTCAGGGTTTCTCATGTGGGTGCAGGGGTCCAAGGACTTGGGCCATCTTCCACTGCTTTCCCAGGCACATTAGCAGGGAGTTGATGGAAGCAGAGCAGCCAGCTCAAACCTGTACCCATTTGGGATGATAGCACTGCAGGCAGCAGCTTTATCCATTACACCACAACACCAGCTCCCTTTATTCATTTATTTTTACTTTATTTGAAAGGCAGCGTAGGGGAGAATCTTCTACTTTAAAACATAGTCCTGGGGCTAGCACTGTGGCGTAGCGAGTAAGGTCGCCGCCTGCAGTGTGGGCATCCCATATAGGTGCTGGTTCGAGTCCTGGCTGTTCCACTTCCAATCCAGTTCTCTGCAGTGGCCTGGGAGAGCAGTAGAAGATGGTCCAAGTCCTTGTGTCCCTGCACCTGTGTGGGAGACCCAGAAGAAGCTCTGGCTCGTAGCTTCAGATTGGCCCAGCTCCAGCTGTTGCAGCCATTTGGAAGAGTGAACCAGGGGATAAAAGATCTCTCTGTCTCTTCCTCTCTGTCTGTAACTCTGCCTCTCAAATAAAATTAAAAATAAATAAATAAATAAATACAACTGCCCCGTTACCACACACACACACACACACACACACTCTCACACTTAAAACCCAAAACCCATTACCATCACCAACAATAAAAATAACAACTTGAAATGTTGCCAGGCAGTTGAGTGGCTCAACATGTTTATCAGCTAATATGTCCAAGTTTAAACCAGAATGGCAATTTAGAGATATCAGGATATAATGTATGAGCATATACATACATCAAAACATCAGATTATATACCATAAGTATATTAATAAAGCTGAAAAAATGTTACCTAGTCTCACTTCACAATCTACCAAAGCCCATTGCAGAGATTTCCATTTTCATTTTCCAGCAACTGAAAATCACATCACTTCCATTTAGCTCATTTTGTTACAACACAGAAGACCTATATTTCAAAAATGATAACAGAAAAATGTAATTTCCAGTAGCATTTTGTGAAATGGCCTTAATATTTACCTTCTTATTCTTTAGTAATGAACTTAAATTGTTCCAAAGGATCTTACTTTTGAAGTCATCTTTTACCATATGCTTTCCCAAACAGCAGTGAAGTTGTAGGTAAAAATAACACATTAAAATTTAAGTTGAATTATGTTAAACTTTTAGTGGACTTAATCATTGTGGTATTATATTTTCTTATAGTGTCAGAAATCTGAAGCTGTCATGGAACAATTGAAGTCTTTACAAATAAATGCTCATCTAAAGCGTCTACAGGAGGAAATTTATGAAGTAAAAACTTGGTCTGGCAGGATAACTGAAAAACAGGATATTTTGAGCAACAATTTGACAACTCTTTCTGAAGACATTACAAAAGTAGACCAAAGTACAACTTCGTTGGCAAAAGATGTCAGTCTCAAGATTACAACTGTAAAAACAGACATACGACGCATTTCAGGTTTAGTAACTGATGTAACATCATTGACAGATTCTGTGCAAGAACTAGAAAATAAAATAGAAAAAGTAGAAGAAAATACAGTAAAAAACATAGGTGATCTTCTTTCCAGCAGCATTGACCGAACAGCACTGCTCCGAAAGACAGCATCAGAAAACTCACAAAGAATTAACTCTGTTAAGAAGACACTAACTGAACTGAAGAGTGATTTCAACAAGCACGCGGATAGATTTTTAAGCTTAGAAAGTGACAGAGCAAAAGTCCTGAAGACAGTGACCTTTGCAAATGGTCTAAAACCAAAGGTATATAATCTAAAGAAGGACTTTGCCCGTTTGGAACCACTGATAAATGACTTAACACTACGCATTGGGAGATTGGTTACTGACTTACTACAAAGAGAAAAAGAAATTGCTCTCTTAAATGAAAAAATATCTAATTTAACAATAGTCCGGGCTGAGATTAGTGATATTAAAGATGAAATAACACACATTTCAGATATGGATTAGTTTGACATTTAGGTTAGATCAAGGTGACTTTTTTATTTTAAAAGCAGGACCACTGTTATGTATGGAAAGACTGATAAATCAGAAATAGTGATATTTTGGAAAGAATACCATTTTGTATTTGATTCTATTTTATACAGGAAAAATAAAATTCTTAAACAACATTTTATTTTCCAAAGTAAATAATATAAAACCTACACTGGTAACTTATAGCAAGAACCTTATCCATACCCTTACATACTCTTAGACAATAGCACACATACACATGCACATACCCTCAGTGCCCATCAGGAACCACAGTATATATGGTTGGGGCCCTGACTGAAGAACCTCTCCTTAGTGGCAGGGCTGTAGAATTCAATCAGAGGTGGAAAACGCCCAGCTATAAAGGCTTAAGAAATCATTTGGTCTTGCCCTGCAAGGGCTAGCCCAGGTCAAAGCCAGGAGTTAGAAGCTCCATCTGGGTTTCCTATGTGGGTGCAGGGGCCCAAGGACTTGGACCGTCCTCCACTGCCTTCCTAGGTGCACCAGCACAGAGCTACATCAGAAATGGAGCAGGTGGGACCTGAACCGGTGCCCATATGGGATGCTGGCACTGCAGGCAATGGTTTAACTTGCTACATCACAGCACCAATCCCAGTTACTATTTTTTAAAGGTTTATTCATTTATTTGAAAGGTAGAGTTAGAGAGAGGTCAGTTTTTGATCCATTGGTTCACTCCCCAAATGGCCACAATGGCAGGAGCTGAGCCTATCCCAAGCCAGGAGCCAGGAACTTCTTCCATGTCTCCGACATGGGTGCAGGGGCCCAAGGACTTGGGCCATCTTGTACTGCTTTCCCAGGCCATAGCAGAGAGCTGGATGGGAAGTGAAGCAGCTAGGACTTGACCCAGAGCCCATATGGGATGCCGGAACTGCAGGCACCAGCCCCCCAGCTATTATTCTAATAGCTTTATTTTAACTAGGAAACTACTACCCAGAAAATGTGGAAAACTTAAATACTTAACAGGAAAAAGCATAAAATAACCAATCAAGCCAAACACGCAAAGGAAACTATGTAAAAAAAATCACTTGATAATTACCAGAAAATGTGAAAGCAGCACCCCCTGAACCAGAATCCAGCTGACTTCTTCACTGGAATTCCTAACACTCTAAATATGTGAAAATATACCAAAAACAGTAAAAGGATGAGCTATAAGTAATTATCAAGTAGTTATTCTTCCCACACTCCTCCTTGTAAAGACTGCTGCCTGCGTGTCACAGCATAGGCTCTAGGTAGCAAGAAACTACATAGTATAGGACTATTCTAGGGTAAGCAGCTCTACAAGGGTACTTCAAAAAGTTTGTGGGGAAAATGGAATTAAATTTTTTTTAGCTCAAAACTTTTTGAAATACATATAAACTTTCATAGTACTATTTTCCACCATAAACTTTATGCAGACTTCTCTTATACATACATTTCAAAATATTTAATACCAAAATAAACATGTTAATTCCATTTCCCCACAAACTTTTTGAGATTCTCTCATGTACACCACATAGATAACATCACTGTAATGCATTCTGATATATTTTGTATTTATAATAGTACCCAAATGAAACACTCTACTCCTTGTTATTTTAATAATACATTTTTGCTTAAAATTTTCAAGGCAGGGGAAGCTGGATGTGGTTCATTAATTGTGACAAAGATACTAATATGAAATGTTAATAGGGAAAATGGGGTATGGGTATATAGGAGCTCTTGGTATTACTACTTCACATTTTTTGTTCTGGAAAACTATTCTGAAATGTTAAAAAATAAAATAAAATTTCAAGGACAGGCACAGTATCCCCTATCAGAACACAGGTTTTTGAATTCTGGCTTCTAGGTTTCCTATCCAGATTCCTGCTAATGAACAACTTGGGAGGCAGCAGATGATCGTCGGAGTACTTGGGTTCCTGCTACCCACATGGGAGTCCCAGATGACAATCCTGGTTCCTGGCTTTGGCCTGGGCCAGCCTCAGCTGTTGCAGGCATTTGAAAAGTGAACCAGCAGGTGGAAGATCTGTCTCCCTATCACTCTGCCTTTCAAATAAAATTTTTAAAATATTTCATCCCTTAAAAAGCATATTCCACCCCCATCCTAATGGGATTTGCTGCTCCTGCTTCCCTGCCTGCCCTCTGGCAAAGTTTTAAAAGGACCTGTTCCTGAACACATGGCTCACGTGTGCGTGCACGCACTCGCTCTCGCTCGCTCGCTCTCTCTCTCCTCTCTTGCTCCCCTCGCTTTTCTCTTGTCTCTTTCTTTTTCCTTCCTGGCCCTTCCCTCTGGCCTGCTGGGTTTTCTCCAACAAACCCTTTCCCTTAAAAAAAAAAAAAAAAAAAAAAGCATAATTCAGCTATCTGAAAATTCAAATTTTTGTTTCTATCAGTGCCAAGTAGAACACTCATCTGATTGGTGCTAGTTCTACTCATCATTATGGGAAGAGCAGTTCACAAATCTGTCACTGTTATCTGATAGCCATACTGAGCAAGACTTTCTTGATAGAACTCCCAAATCTAGAATATCTCTAGGCTAATGATTTTTATTTTATGATTTTGGCTTCAAATCAGGTAGCTTTTGTGGCAAATATAGGGTAATAGAAACCTTTGGATTTATTTCCTAACAGTAGAAAACAAAAATTACTAACTTCAGTAATGCTATAAATCTTCCTTTTTCCATTGGTTCACCCCCCAAGTAACGCACCGGCTGATCCGAAGCCAGGAGCCAGGTGCTTCCTCCTGGTCTCCCATGTGGGTGCAGGACTCAAGTACTTGGGCCATCCTCCACTGCACTCCTGGGCCACAGCAGAGAGCTGGACTGCAAGAGGAGCAAGTGGGACAGAATCCGTAGCCCCAACCAGGACTAGAACCTGGGGTGCCAGCGCCACAGGCAAAGAATTAGCCTAGTGAGCTGCTGCACCAGCCTGCCTTTTTTTTTTTTTTTTTTTAATTTTTTAAAGATTTGAAAGGCAGAATTAGAATCTTCCATTTGCTGGTTCACTCCCTATATGGTGCCAATAGCCAGGGCTGGGCCAGTCTGAAGCCAGGAGCTTCATTTGGGTGTTCCATGTATGTGCAGGGGGCCCAATTTAGGCCATCTTCTGCTGTTTTCCCAGGCACACTAGCAGGAAACTGGATGGGAAATGAAGCAGCCAGGAACCCAACTAGCACCCAGTTGGATGCCAGCATTGCAGATGGTGGATTAACCCACTACGCCACAGTTCTGGTCCCAGTAGATATGATCTTGAATGAGTGAGCCATCTTCAGTTTCCTCTGTAATGTCCTTGCTTATAGCATCATTTTAAGTCTATGTAGTCAATAAAACCAGTAAACCATAAGGAAAAGTTGAGTACAACATATTCAGGTATTAATGACTGGAGATTTAAGTTTTAATGTTGGCTGATAGAGCCATCTGGTGTCAAGATTGTGGACTCTTGGAATGTATCACCTCTCAAGAATTATCCTCCTTCAAATCTTGCAGCACACTGCATTCCATGAGGCCAACTGACATGTGTGTGTGTGTGTGTGTGTATATAAACCCTTATTCACAGAACTAGGTAGGAATCATTATCTTGTGTTGAGAAACACATCCAAGTTCTTTCATTCAGGATAGCAATACTTTTAAGTCACTGCTGCATGCACGGCACTTC